ACCAGGGAACCCTCAGCCGCCCGGGGCGCTCCGCCCAACACCCTCCTCAGCCGCCCGGGGCGCTCCGCCCAACACCCTCCTCAACCGCCGCCGTGGCATTCCACCTAATGATGCCTGCTCCCTATTCCCAGCTGCCACGGATTCTTCAGGCCTTGCTGTTCCACCACCTGACAGCTCCTTGAACAACTTTTGTGTGATGGTTCCTAAGGCGTTTCCCCACAAGTGACACATGCAGTCCATCACCCCCTGCTCCCTCAAATACAGTCTGTTTTACAAGCTCTTTGGAAACTGTTTAACCAGCTGGAGAAAGGAAATGACCCTTACTCACATTGCCTCCTGAGCTTCCTTATTTATTTCAGCCTCTGCCCTTACTGACGCCAAGCAAGGAGCCTAGAGAGGGAACATGACCAGCTCCAGGTGGTAATATCTTAATTTATGCCCTGGATGAGGTGCTCCTGTAGGGGTTTGTCAACAAATGCAGGATTTATGATGGGCAATTTTTGATATAGCAAAAATCTTACTGCCATCTAGTGAGAGAAGGCTTAAAGGTAACTGGAATTCAGATGTGATGACTAACCACACAAGCTCTGCTCCTTGGGTTACCACAGTATCTTCTGAAACCGTGATGTGGGCACTGCTTGTCTGTAGCTGGGAGTTTCATGTGGCATTCACTCTCTGTATCGTGCGTGTCATGTTAGTAATGATAGCACATTCCACTGCTACTCAGTGCTGATCTCTGCAGAGCTTTGAGGCCCTCTGATTGATTGGTGTTTGCCCATGCTTGCTTATAACCTGCAGGGTTTTAAAGGAGATTCTTCTTACTGAGGCCTGGTCTGCAGTATAGAGTTAGGTTGACGTAAGGCACTTACGTTGACCTAATTGTGTCAGTGTCCACACTACAGCCTTGCTCCCACCAACGTAAGTGCTCTCCTACACTGATATCATAACTCCAACCTTCACAAGAGGCGTAGGGCTTATGTCGGTGTAGTTAGGGTGACGCAGTGTCCCTGTAGACACAGTGGGTTACTTACATGGTCTGTTGGCTGTCGTTCTTTTCAATTTCATGGCTTCCTGCTGGAGTGTGAAATTGACAAGAAAGCCCGGCTCACAGCTCAGGCTGTCACCTGGGGATGGGTGAGGGGCTCCCCACTCCCAGCTGGGCTGCCGACCGGGCTCCCTGGCTGCACCGAGGCTCACGGCTCCCTGCAGGGAACCCGGCAGCTCTCCGGCTTCAAGCGCAGAGCAGGGAGCCAAGAGCCCAGGGGGGTCAGCCTAGCTCCTGGCGGGGAGCTGCACATGGAGCTGAGAGCTCGGGCTCTCGGCCCCCCACGCTGCCCCTCGTAAGTTGGTGGAAGCACTCCTGGTGAGGATGTGCACCACCAGCAGTTGTGTGGACATGAACCACCACAGTAGTTACTGTGGTGGCTGTAAGTTGACCTAATATAGGTTGGCTTAAGTTGGTAGTGTAGACATGACCCATGTCCTAAATTCTACCCTCCTCTGATTACAGGAATTGGGACCTGCTATGGAATCATAGTTACATGTTTGCTGAAATATTTCTCCCTATTTTCAATAAATCACAGAGCTGCCCTGAAATTGCAGACAAATTGTACTGATGGATTTCTCTCAGACACCTTCTCTGTGTCTTTGAGTCTTAGAAGTGAGTGTCGTCCCCCTGCAACCCCAATGCATTACACCTTTGCTTTGTAAACAGAGGTTACTCACTCCTTCTTTTCATTTTATTTATTTTTTTCCTTGTAACAGTCCTCTAATGTTGTGCATCCCTTGGGGTAATTCCCTTTCCTGTCTCTCTGAAACACTCTTACAATCTCTCATGCAGCTAAATAATAAATGAATACAACAAAACTCTTCCCCATCAAAGAAAATCATTTTAATTATAGATTTTGTTGTCAGTCTTTGTAGCTCCCCCTTTACTTTAACTCAATTCTGTGGCTTGTGTTCAGTGGCCTGGAGCAGATTAATAGCTTGCATGGAAGATGAGCTCCCTAGGACTAGCTTAAGAGTTGAGAGAGTACTGAATGACACCACATCTCTTTAAATACTTCATATCTTCTTTGAAGTTTGGAGCCGATGTTCGTAGGGGCAGGTTCTCTCTCAGGTGCCCATGTGTAGCTGTCATCCGCATGGGATAACAGAGAATGGATTAATCTCAGCTCTCTCACACACTCACCGTGTCTTTGTCAGCCACTGCAATACCTGTCTTGAAATATTTAACCAATGGAGGGAGCAATCTAATGATGATAACACTGGGTGCTTTGATTTGGTTGCTATGATTCTCCTTCCCCCCACCTTTGGTAATGAATTCTTGGGATGATTTTGCTTTGATTTATTTATATAGAGAGATATAGATATATATTTCCTTTTCTGTTCATTCATTTTCCAGCCTTGTTTTCTTCCAGGTCTTGTTGCTCTCCACCTCCTCCTCCTGTGTTGCTGTGTGACGTGTCCTTTATTCCGCCTGCTTCGCTACCATCTCATCTCAATCTCAAGCCGTAGACAACTCGATGGTGCAGCCCCTTTCATGAGAAATCAACTTGCTTTTGGTTTTTTGGTTTTGTTTTTAATTTTCTTCAGAACTTCACCTGAAAGGGAAGAGACAGTGTTAATTTATGGGTCTCTTATTCCATGCTAAACTGAGTCCGAGAGAGAAGGCTGGGCTGGTGAAAGGGGCACTGTTGGGTTAAAAATCAAGTATGCAAAGAAATTCCCCTTACCTGTTTTACTAAAGATTAGGCCCCAATCCTGCAGGCTGCATTGTATGAGTGTACCTCTGCACCTATGTGGGGCTTTAATTGGTCTCTACAAGGGCGCAGGGTTCTAGCCTGCAGCTTTCAGGATTGGGGCCTTAGATGGTTCAAATGGAGTGAGCTATTTCTAAAATTTGATTGATTTAAAAGACTGTCCTTACTGATGTTGTCTACGTTTTGCACTTTCTTTATCTTTTCCAGTGAATGCAGACCTAGTAAACTCTTGTTTCTAGTTGATTTCGCTGTCTGGTTCTTATGGTCTAGTTCTGTGCTGCATTGTTGGGATTGCAAACACCGCAAGAGAAAGTTTATGTTTAAGCCATATTTTACTTTATGAAATTTGGTAAAAATTTGTAAAACCCTAACTGACCTCACAATTTCCCTTTTAAGAGAAGAATGGAAAATATTTTTGGTAACTGAACAACTTATTTCTCCTGAATTGGCTGCTGTTTGATGATGCGTTTTTGGTTTTTTTGTTTTTTAAATACATATGTTGGAGATGAACATGAGCTAAACTCAGATTCAAACACTTCTAAACCTTATGATTAAGAATTTAAGCCCAATTTGGATCCAGATATTGTGATGTGGCCTCATCTTTCCAATGCATTGAACTTTTAGCAAGGTTCAAAATCAGGGTCCAAATTTTGCAGCTTGGGCTCCTCTGTTGCATGTGCTAGTGATGGGTGAATCTCTAAAAAGGTTCCTAGTCTCAGATAAAAGCCCAGAGATTGAGCCTTATCTGAACCTCTTGGCTGTACAAAATTGTTCTAAAAAATCTCTCACTACCAGGCCTCTTTGAGAATTCCAGTAGTTCCCGTTATGGGGTCGGGCATGACATACTAGCGTGCTGCTGATCCCAGCTGCAAAAGTGGGCAGTTCTCCCAACCTCAGAAGGCTTGTGGTTTGGGCTTAGGGAGATGTTTTGGGTTGGTTCCTTGCCCATCCCCCTCAAAATATATATATATATATATATATAAAAAATAAAATAAGAGTTGTCCCCTCTCTGCTATTAGAGCAAGGGGTGACCAGTGTCTTGTATGAGAGGCTCTGCTGCTTAGTACTGCAGTTGAAGATTGGTCAGTGTTGCAGCAAATAACCTCCTTCCATACAGGATATGCAGAGTGGTTTAGACAAAGAGGACCCTTTTGAAATGACCAGTATGCCATGTTACTGCAGTAATAGCTTTTGATGTTTGCAGACAAGGACAGGAGCAGCACTCTGATGACCAATGCACTAACCCTACAAAAATGTACACATGCACTTAATTTATGCATTGTGAATAGTCCTACTAAAAGTGTATGTGATTACTCACAGAGCATAGCATTAAGCATGTGGGTGAATCTTTGCAGGGTCAGGGCCCTACTGTTTATATTGGGGCTACCAGAAAATATCCTTTTTCCTTTGTACTCTGAGAATGTTCCTCTCTACATCTGTAAACGTTCTCAGGGCAACGCTGGTCTACGGGTTGGTTTGCTACAGTGTTGGATAGTGAAGGGATGAACACAGAACCAAAGATGCCGAATGGGGAAGGCTCATTGGGAAAAATAGTTATTGCTGGTTTAGAAAATGTTTTCAAGATTAAAAATAATGTGCCAGGGCAGGAAAGCTCTGTGGCACAATCCACTAGCCATTGTGAATTGGGGAGGAGATCATTGAGACCCTGTTGCATTAAATCATGTGCAAATATTAGGGGGTGGAGAAGAAGGGCAAACAGACCCTACTAATAATATTAAAAATAACTTTGTGTGGAGGTGGAACATACTTGGAGCTCAGAAGCTGTGAAAGGTCAGATTTTCCATATGAAATCTGCTACCTCTGGCTGAGTGTGTATCAGAGACCAGAAGAGCCCCTTTTCTATCGTACATGACCAGCAAAGAGTTCATCCCAGTTTGATCTGACACAAGCAGTTAGTTCTCCTAGGCTGGAAGTCAAGCGTTCTGTAATCTTTTTCTTATGGCTTCAGAGCCTGCAGGTAAAGTCCTGCCTGTCTAGCTGAGACCTGTTCTTTGACTTGAATCCCCCATGTTTTCCAGCATGTCGGGGAACTTGAACAAAAAGGCGTGAATGCACAGCCTTCGAGAGGAGTAGTTTTTCAGAGTTCTGTAGGATGTAACCCTTGTTGCCGCTACCCTGGGAGAGCCTCTTGCTCTATGGGATTCTGTAGTGACTCGCAAAACAATCGCTGCTTTGCGTTAAACAGGCACCGGTTTCCTCTCTCTCTCTCTGTTCCAGGCGGTCCCAGGTAATTGAAAAATTTGAGGCATTAGATATAGAGAATGCAGAGCATATGGAAACCAATGCGTCCGCAGGCCCCTCCCTTTCCAGCGAGACACGTCAGGGCAGGAGTGAGAAGAGGGTTTTCCCCAGGAAACGGGTAAGCCTTTCGTTTCTCTCTGAGGTAGGATGAAGGCACCTGCCTGTGTTCTTGGAGGATGTGGTTTTGGCTGGCAGCTTATATTTAGTGCTCTTCCTAGTACAGCTAGGATTGTCCTTGACTTCAGGTCCTAACTGGCAATTTCTGTGCATGGAGCACAGAATCTAGAGGTCTTGGGACAGAGGGCGCATGTACCACAGCGGGCAGGCCGCGAGCACGAGTGAGCAGCGCTGATTTGCCACTCACTGCTCAGTCTCCTTGCTTCGGTGGTGGGATCAGAACAGAAGACAAATCACCTTTCTCTCTCTCTTCCTCCGGGGTAGGAAAGGGAGGCATCAGATCTGGCATAGAAAAAACACAGCAGATGACATGAAGTATTAATAAAAAGAAGTTAACTAATAGAAGTATGTGATCTTGAAAATCTTGTAGCCTAAAGTGAGTTTAGACGTACTGGAGCCAGTCTAATGCCTCGGACTCTGTGTCCAGAAGGGCCAGATGCTTCTAAAAGCACACAAAGAAAAGTATGGTGTGAGCTCATTAATTTTAATTGTGGAGTCTAAGAAACGTACACCACTGGGTCTTTGACATTGTGAGAGATGGGAGTTGATGTTTTGTGTTGATGTTGCGGTAATCTGGGCTAATTCTGTTTTCAGGACTTCACCTCTGAAACTGCAGCAGTAGGATCCATCCTGGAAGTCTCAGCTTCCCCTTTGTCTCCACACCGTAGAGCAAAATCACTGGATAGAAGATCCACTGAGTCCTCCATGACGGTGAGACCAAAAGGTTTTTTTCATTCAATACTGGCATGTGGGAATGAAGACATTGGCATGGCGTTCTTGGTTGAATGGAAACGCTCCATCTCTTTCAGCTGTTAGCCTTGTGAGAGCTCCTCTGCCATTGCTCTCAACCCCCACGGTGGACTAGGGGCCAAGTCCAGATCTGGTGTAAACAGCTGCAATTCAATTTACTTGAACCCAATCTGAATTTGGCCCAGAGTATGTTAGAAGCTAGACCCGGAAAAAAGAGAGCCTATAATTTATCTAGTCCATCTCCCTGCCAGGGCAGTGGAGAGGCAGAGACTTGGAGGAGGGGTTCGTTTTCCTAAGAGCATTGAGCAGATGCAAGAGCTGATCTGGGAACTGGCTCCTCATTTCCCTATTTGGCAAACAATTTTTCTGTGTAATAGTCAGTTACCTGAATGTTATGGTTTGCCATACAGGTGCCATGTGCTTAAGGTGACAAATCAGCCCAACCATTACCAGAAAGGAACACTCCCTTCTTTTGTTTTCACATACTGTCATTCCCATCTGAGGTGGCTTACTCAGACCATTTCAGCAGGTTAATACAATTTCCTGGGTCCCATTCAGTGCTCCAGAATCAGATCAATTGCAAGTTCACCACTCCCATGCAGTCAGATAACAACACCTCAGACTTGGTGTATTAAGAAAAATTAACAAATGAACACTGAAGTATTCTTAAAATCTTTACTTTGTGTATTTATGCAAAGTAGACATCAGTGGAAGAAAGCTTGAGAGGAAAGTTTGGAAACTGAAATCCGTAGCTTCCTTCCACTTGCAATCAACAATGTTAAAGATGGGCAGTAATACACAAAGCTTTCCCAGAAGTTCTATTACTTCTACTTTGCTGTGAAATAACACAACCCCCTTATGTTTAAAGTAGCTTCACAGGCCTGCATTCCTTGACAACAGAGGTCTTTATTTAGCAATGTGAGCACAGCATAGTTTTAGAAATAATGATTTTTGCAACACAAAATTTTGGTAAGGCTTTGTATTTCTCTGTGATTCAAATGCCAACCAGACTTAAACAAGGTAAGCAGAACAAAATGAGATAACTTCAAGCAGTGCTCTCCTCCCATCTACTCAGTGTTGTATGCTAGTGGGTGGTATAAATGTGCATGCAGCTCTGTGCATAAGACCCTGAGCCATTCTAAATAAGTGCTACATGTTTGTCTGCAAACAGCTTTTGTTCGAGCTTTGTGTACAGACACGCACGCCCACCCAGCACGCGCTCACACACAAAGCATTGCATTTATATATCAGTTTTTATTGTAGGATTTGTACATCTACAAAAGCTCTTTATTTTTATGCCGTTAGCGCTGTTCCCAAGTTACTTAGTATTTGCGCAATTCAAGAAGTGTGACTTTGTGTTAACCATTTAGTTAAGGCAAGGAATTACGTAGTCCAATTAGCAGGATATGCACTATTTCCCTGCACCCCTTTTCCCTTTATTTTGCAACTCCTGCTGTTAAAGTAACAGAAGTTGAACAATTCTGTTACCAACCTCATTCACTCACTTGTTTTTCTCCCCCTGTTTTATAACTTTGTGATTCCAAGTTTCCCCTGAAGACTTGGCTAGTCCTATGGGACTGGGACATTTATTATCAGGCAAGTCTTTCTTCTCAGACACAGGCTAAGGGTTGCATTCACCCACTTCACCTTTGTTGTCAGGATTTCTTTGGTTTGTGGAGGATCATTCATGTGTGGATGAAGCACTGGGGTCGAGTCCTTGGGTCCCTCTCAGGTCCATATTTTGTCTGTCTCTTTGTCCCCCAGTCTGTGTGCATCCCTCTATTTGACCTGGTCATCATGGACCTTCTAGTTCCACCAAGTTGTTAGTTCCAGCATCTGGCTCTTCTCAAGCTCTGGCTCTAGTTCCTTGTACAAAGGCACTGATCCCCCTCATCACATGTCTGTGCATGGCATACAGCAAACACTAGGTGCGGTGACAGATTTGCCTAAGGGTATGTCTACCCTGCAGCTGGGAGTGAGCCTCCTAGCCCAGGGTGACAGACGCACATTAGCTCCGCTCAAGCTGGCATGCTAAAATTTAGCAGCATTATGACATAGGCGACCGCTCAGGCTGGCTGCCAGGGTCAGCCCACCCAACCGCCTGGGTCTGAGCTCAGGTGACTAGCCTAAGCTGCTCTGCCCGTGCCACAACACCCATGCTGGTATTTTTTAGCATGCTAGCTTGAGCCAGGCTAGTGCTTGTCTGTTCATTTGGCTGGAGGCTCGCTACCAGCTGACGGTTAAAAAGCTCTGTTGTCTTCTGTCGTTCTGGGTCAATGTTTCAATGAAACCCCTTCTTCTGCCTTGAAATATGGTTCTGTTACTGATGAGGCAACTTAACAGCATCTTCTTGCTACTGTGGCTTTTAAATCCTTAGTTTCACTAAGTTTAAACTAAGAGCTCTAGTGGACTTTGAAGGTTTGCTAAGCAGGGATCTAATTCTGCTTTAATAGAAGATTGTTCCCCAGGGATGTCATTTGTCATGGTGCAGGGTGGCAGTTGCCACCCCCACCCCCCCCAACCCCAGACTTTTCATAGCTCTGTATGCTCCATCCAACGTTTCTGGATATAATATAATCACACACAGCGTTCTAGAAGCTGACAGAACTTTGCACCTCCCAGAATTTTTCTGTAATGATGACCCTGCCCTTCCTTTACAATTTTTTTCAGCAAGTAAGTATTCTGCCCTCGAAAGTCTGTAACATCTTCACTAGTTCTGCTTTCCTCTGCAAAATGCTTGGCTGGGAACAAATGAACGTGGATCCAAAATACAGTTTCTTCGTAGCAGTACAGAGCTCTCCAACTCTCCATGGGTGATCATGAAGCTCTTTTCTGTAGTCTTTGCCTGCAGAGGGGCTGTGGCTCACCAGGACCACTGGTGGTATGATCAGAACATCGCCTTCTCTCACAAGAGAATCCGGGCTCTTTCATTAGGTTAACCAATCATAAAATAAAGATGCTGCAGCTCGCATAACTTAGTGAGCTTGGTTTCTGGAAGCTCTGGATACTCAGCACAGTCTCTTACCTGTGCCCAATCCATGCAGCATTCAAGGCTGCCTTTTCAACAGGGATTATCTGTTAGGGTCCAGTGGGCATATCCCACCTGGTCATGCTATTGCAAATGCAGGGTGGTCCTGGCCATTGGTGAATCTCTTTGCTGTCTCCTCTTCGGATTCTGTAGTGTTTCTGGAGCAGTGTTCGGGTATTATTCCCCTGGTTTTTGTGATGCTGAACTGGGTATCCTTCCGCTTAAGGACATTGAGGGACAAACTGGATTTAACAGATTTCTGTTTAGATTTCCTTTCCCCTGTGTTCACGGCTTCCTTTGCCATTGCCAATAGATTTGTGCTGGTTCATTTAAACCTGGCTTCTCTCCTCCTCCTCCTCCGCTCCCAGCTGCATCTCTGACTTGATCCTGCTGTGAGGTTTCAAAGCCGCAATGCTTGGCATCCGTCACTTTCATGACAACAGGTTGTGATGTCCTAAAAACAGGATTATATCTTGCCTGCAGGCTGAAGCTGAAGGAGGAGCTGATCAGCGAGGGAGGGAAAATACTTCCACCACCTACATTAACATGCAATAAACAGGATGCGAAATAAGAAACTTTCAGCTCACCCCTGTGTGGAAAAGTCCCCTCTTCAGAGTTAAAGGCTGTTCTTCTAGGTGCAGCCTACTATTAAATCCACTTATAAGGAAATCTGACCAGGGTTCCATATAGGGTTATGAGATGCTGGTACTCCCTTCATGCAAACCTCTAGGGTATTTCATGGCCTCGTAAATAGGAACTCGGCCATATGTTGATACGCACTGTACCACGTGATTGCCAGCTGCCAGCCATGCCAAGCAGAGTTTATAAATAGAGGCAGAGAAGCAGGGAGTGGGGGCAAGGAGGCTTTGTGGATGGAAGACTAATGAAGAGCCACAAGGATAAGGTAGGCCTGGGCTTTCTGATTGTGCCAGCAGACTCCAGGGTTTGGTACCTAAGAGCTAATGGGGCGGGGGGGGGAAGAGCAGGGCCCTTAGAACCTGGCTTGCTTTGGAGAAAAATCTCCTTCCCCGTCACACCAGTGAAAGCTGCGAAGTCCATGGATGTCGCTCCCCAAGTCTCGAAGGATGAAAAGCTCGTGTGCAACGCCTGGAGTTGAGCAGTAATATGGCACCCTGGTATGCACAAGGAAGGCAACACTCTGCCTCTCCCTGCCTCCCGGGGGCATATCGGGGACCACAGCTGGCACCACTTCGGTGTGAAACAATGGAGAAACCCAGCACGATGTTCTGGATAAATAGGCTGGTTTCCATGTCGGCGGCATCTTCTCTCCCCTCATCCCCCCAGTCATCCTGCTCCAGTAGCATAGACTAACTGTATGGGGTCTGGCCAGCGTGAAGCAAAAGCTGGATCTTGGGTGATGGGAGGGGGTGGAAGTGGAACTTCTTGAGCAGGTTTCCGCTGGCTGTGTGTGGCTGCTGTCGGGGAAACTTGCACTTTGCTGAACTTCGCCCTTGCCCGCAATCTCTGCCTACCCAGCCAGCGCAAGGACCAGCATAGATACCGCCGCAACTTTCTTTTTACACTTTAGTGGCAAAAGTCCAAAGAATCCTTGAGCAGGAGGCACCTGGCTCCTGCTCTTCTAGCCACGGGGCTGTTTTCTTGCTTACGGGAACCTTAGAATTATAGAAGATTAGGGTTGGCAGAGACCTCAGGAGTTCATCTAGTCCAATGCCCTGCTCAAAGCAGGACCAACCCCAACTAAATCATCCCAGCCAGGGCTTTGTCAAGCTGGGCCTTAAAAACTTTATCTGATTGGATTGCCAAACCTGAAACTGAAGCCTGATTGGACCCCGCTAGCTGGTCAGTGTCTGCGATGATGCTGAGCTTTGCACAACTAGTCTCCATTTGGAGACCTCCCATCTGCTTGCTTTTCCCCTGGAGAGCTGATGAATTTCCATCTGTCTCACATCTGATTCCCACCCTCTCCTGGCCAGTTTCCTTGGCTTATTTTTTTGCTCTCTGTTTTGATGACTCCTCCCTGCCCAGGCACTGCTGCACTCAGTCTTGTACGCTTTGGGTGCCTTGGAGGAGGAAGTAGGACAGCTGTGCAGTCACCATTAAAACACCTGGCTAGTCAGTGGCTCCTTGTGCTGCTGTATGTCTGAGGAATTGGGGAACAGAGAATAACTTCTCCAGCCAGCAAGCTTGGGAACTTGACAGCTTTTCCTTACCTCTCTTCTTACTAGCTGTTCTTTGTTATGAAGGGGACTCTGTAAGAAATGGCAGCAGGGCACGTGGGTTCCCCTGCAAAATACCTTCTGCATGACCGTGGCTGCCCAGGTGATACCTAATCTCTGAAACACCAAGGCCTTGTTTGCAGCAGCCTCTTTCATCTTGTCTAGACAGGCTGGGTTAAAAAGCCAGCAGCCTTGCCTACCCCAGCGTTCCCACTGTTGCTCCCTCTGGACCTCCCCAGCCTGGGGGGGAATCCAAGTCGCCGTGGGGCAGGCGGGGAGAATCCCCCATATCTCTCCAGCGTCCGCGGGCGGGGGCATCCCCCGGAGCTCCCTAGTCCCTGTGGGTTAAAGGGACCCCCCAGAGCAGGTAGCAGGGGAACCCTTGCAGCTCCCCGGCCTGGGGAAGAATCCCCCCGCATCTCCCCAGCCGCAGCAGCTCCCACCCAGTGGGCAGGGGCCACAGTTCCCAGCCACAGCAGGGCAGGGTGCTGGACACTCCTCCCTCCCCATTTTGTCATAGACATTTTTAGTAAAAGTCAGGGACAGGTCACGGCTTTTGTGAATTTTTGTTTATTACATGTGACCTGTCCATGACTTTTACTAAAAATGTCCATGACAAAATCATAGCCTTAATTATATTGTATAAATCATTGCTGAGGGATTTCTCCATGGTAGAGTTGGAAGCCAGCACTTCATCTGAATCCTCGAAAAGATCTAAATGTCTCCTTCTTTCCTCTCTTTGCAGCCTGACCTGCTGAACTTCAAGAAGGGATGGCTGACGAAGCAATACGAGGATGGACAGGTAAGTCTAGTGGGACATGCTCTTTCTCAGCCACCATCTTGGATGCTGTGGTCAGTCAGCATTTGTATGTAACCAGGCATTTGCCCACCTGTAACATGGCCTCCTTGGGGAGAGGACTGTCCCTTTTCCCTGTGGCCTGGCACAGTGCAGTTGTCTGTCTGCGTTTGTGCACATGGCGCTGTGGCTACACCCAGAAACCAAATAAATGGCCAAGGGGTGCAGCTGTGTGGCTGCTCATTTGTGAGCAGGACAGATTCTTCGTTAAAGATGAACTCAAAAGGCTTTCCACCCTGTCCAGCCCCTGGGACAGGACTCAAGATTTCCCCCCGTCAGAGCTGGTGCATTTTCAGCTTCCTACCTTGCCGTAGAACTATGAGGGCCTGAACTCCTGATCTGAACAGGTTAATAAGGGAAAAGGTATGGGTGTTGGGGGGGGGGAGTGTGTGTGTGTGTGTGTGAGTGAGAGAGAGAGACACACACACGTTTCAGGCTCCTAAGATGATTCGTGTGCAGTGCTCAGCATTTATATAGCGCTTTCCACCTTCCCACAGTAACAAACTTGTACCGCCCCTGCAAGGTAGATCTGTATTTGCCCTGTTTTACACCTGGGGGGAGGCATCTTGGCAGAGCAGTGTGCAGGGAGAAGTCGGTCAAATCTATAGCCTGGCACAGGCCAGGCAGCCATTGCTAGGTGAGCTCTACCTATCTCCCCACCATCACCACATAAGCAGGGCCTACTTGGGGCAGGAATGGCTGGCATTCTGCATTGCAGAGGATTCAGGCCCCTGCATCTGAATGTCATTTAACAGGTTTCTAGGGAGTTGAGGTCAGCGGGGGTTGCACCATTGGTTCTCTTGGCCTCATCTCCCTTGTGGTCACAGCCACCTCTTCAGAATCACTAATCAGGTGCAGAACATGCGCCCTCAGAATCATGGGAACAATGAGAGAGAGAGCAATTAGATTAAATCAGAATGTCTCCATTAAGGCACTAATGGAAGCACCAGCTTCCCACCTTCCTCTCCTTCCGTCCCTCAGGGGTTGTGGTTAAGTGCTCAGCTCCCACAGCCTTAAAGGCTGGCAGATGATACTGGGTTGTGACTGAGCTCATGTTACTATTTATAAATAATCCCCTCCCTTGATTTTCCCTCTGTCTTCCCCCTGCCCCCACTCCCTCCCCAGCCGGGGAGGCTGGGGGAGTGATGTGGACTGTGTAAGCTGGGGCTAGGGTACAGATTCTGAAGCTTGGGGAATTGGTGGGGAGTCCATCCTCTCCTCAAAGTGCCGCTGCCATCAGGAAAACGACGGACTGTAAAAATGATGTCAAGTTTGTTCATTGCTTTTCTGCACATCCAGTGCATTCAGTTTAGCAGTGCTCTCCTGCCTGCCACCATTGCATCTCAGTCTGCTGCGTGAAGATCCAAGCTCTGCCCTTTCTATTAATCCCCAGCACTACAGACTGGAATCATAATTTAGTCAGCTCTTTTTTTTTTTTTGGGCGGGGAGGGAGACTACAAATCGAGCTATGAGATCCAGGTTTGGCTGGGTTCAGTTCTCATCAGAAAATGTCTCTTTCCATTCAAACAGGGCTGGAAATACTAGTGCATGTAACTGAAAGGCAACACTTACAAGGGAAAGCATAGAACTGTTTGATCTGGTTCTCTTAGATGGGGGAACTGGACTCTCTCTGACAGCAAGTCAAGGAAATTAATATGGTTATTAAACCCTGATTTTTAGCTACAACACTTCGAATGAAGTGCTAGGATGTGAGTTCTGAAAGAAATGCCTTTCTGTATCCATCTTTTGTCTCTTGTCTCATGGATCATTGGTCTGACCCAGTATGGCCATTTTTATGTTACTCTTAGAAGCTGGGACTGATTGAAAGGGGGTGGACCACTTGATAAATTACCCTGTTCTGTTCATTCCCTCTGGGGCACCTGGCATTGGCCACTGTCAGAAGACAGGATGCTGGGCTAGATGGACCATTGGTCTGACCCAGTGTGGCTGTTCTCATGTTCTTATGTAAAGTGTAAGCTCTTTGGAGCTGTCCATTTGTTCAAGCTTTGTGAAGTAGCTAATGCAGTGGGGCCCATGGTTCATGACTAGGGCTCCTAAGCGGTACAGTAATATAAATAATAATAGCAGTACGTTACTTTAAATGGACAAAAACAAGGGGCAAATATTTGGAAATTATTGTGAGTTTTTTGCTCTTAACACAATAGAGGTAATGTGAAGGACCCTTGCAAACACAGTGGGGAGGGATCCAAATAACTGTGATACTAACTACATGCAAAATGCAAGGTCTAGCTACATTGCTGCTCTCAAGGATTGTGGTGGCCTCTGAAACAGACAGGGAGTGCCACTAGAGGGGTCACATACAACCTAGTTAAGGGAAAACCACCCAATTCCTATCTGCTTCAGAAATAAACAGGAATGTTATCTGTCCAAATTCATAAATCATGAAGAACACGTCCTTCTGAGCCTAAGAATGCAGTCATTAAACATGGTGTCTTGTCAGTAAACTGCAAAGGAAGGACTCTGAAGGTCCAAGGAATGCAACATATTTGTGATGACTTTTCTGGTCATGGCCACGTGTTATCATTGAGTGATGGTGGAGCCTTTGCAGCTCAAACTGTTGTTGGCTCAACAAACATCGCCACTCAGACAGGAGAGGATCCTATAGGTGGAAGCCATGTTCTTGACTCTCCCTCTCATTGATTTTTCTACTGGCTTTCAGCTGTGAGAGGTTGAGTGCCCCACCAGAGCACAGAGCGGGTCGTTGCAGTCTGCCCAGCTGTTTATACAACAGAGGGGGGTGGTCAACGGTTCTACCTTTACCTTAGTGAGCTGTGAGGTGATACCGCAGCCGCCCCAGGCGTGGGAAAGGAACAGCTTGTTAAAGGGCCTGCCTTGTTTGTTTCCTAGTGGAAGAAACACTGGTTTGTGCTGACGGATCAGAGCCTGAGATACTACAGGGATTCCGTGGCAGAGGAGGTAGGTGTCTCTTTCCTCAGAATTTAAACCCTATTCATTGCAGACTCTGGTAAGTCCTAAATGACTTCAGCATTGCTCCTACAATTCTCCATATGAACACAGCTGTGTCCTGGGTGGGAGTTCAGGTTCCTGTTTGGATTTGTGTTTGTGCCTCGCAAGTGAGCTAGAAGAGCAGAAAGCCTGGGGGTGCATTTGAAGTTAATTGGATGCTTCCAGCAACAAGAGCATCCCCAGCAGTGCACATTCTCAAGCTCCCAGTCCTCAGGGATTCAATGAGAGGCAGAGCTTGGTGCAACCCCAGATCAAAGCCACGTCTCTTCCTGAACAGGAGTTTGATCACTCTTTATCCCAACTCTGCAGGCCCTTTGATGGCGTGGAGCATCCATGTTAATATGTCTGTATGGGCTCTACTATGTGTCTTGCCGTAAGTCCTTGATGCTGAGAACGAGACTGCTGACCTTGTGGTGAAGTTTCCTAAGTGGCTTCTTGTTAGATGTTGCTTTTGAACATGGGTGCGCACACTTTTAGTGTGCAACGATCCCTACAGTTTTCCTCTCTCTCGTTCCCTAGGCAGCTGATTTGGATGGAGAAATTGATTTGTCTACATGCTATGATGTCACCGAATATCCAGTTCAGCGGAACTATGGCTTCCAGATCCATGTAAGAATGCTTTGGGGAACGGGAACACTGCTATGGGGAGCAGTTGGAGAGAGGGTGGCAGACGTTTCCTTATCCCAACAGACTCCGTGGTCCATCTCCAGCAGTCACCAATGCTGGATGGATCAGAGGCAAATGAAACCACTCTTATAACGCATCACTGTGGATACTATCCGATGGGAAGGGAAATGTCTTCCTGACTCCCCTCACATGGTGACCAGCTTGTGCCTTGAAGCATGTGATTGGCTAGTCATTGGTTCATGTTTTGATCAATAGTTGCTGGTAAGAAATGGGGGTGGGAGAAAGGAGTGGATTTAATGGTTCTCTCCCAAATACCCAATGAAAATGTTCTTAAGGACTTGAGTGATACACATTTGGCAAACTCAGGGCTTGTCTACACGGTACCACACTATGACCTAGATTTCTAGTCTCTGCACTGAGGGATGAAGAGTGAGGCTGGGGAGCGAGTCCTGGCAACCCCTTGAAGGGAAGGAAAGTGCTGCCCAATAGAATCAGCCATGTTGACCTGCTCCTCCTCTTTGCCTAGACTAAAGAAGGGGAATTCACCCTGTCTGCCATGACCTCTGGGATTCGACGAAACTGGATCCAGACAATCATGAAGCACGTTCGCCCCACAGCTGCTCCAGATGTGACCAGGTAAAGAACTAGGAAAAGAACAATGCCCATCTCTCCCATTTTACCCATTCCCCTCTATCCTCTCACTTGCTGTCCAGAAATACCCACCCCCTTTCTGACTCTTTCTGGTCCCTCCCACTCAGTGTTCTGGCTATTCCCATTCTCTGGGCTTAGGCTGGACACCGTTTGCTCTCCTGCTGTTTATGCAGTGGCACAAGATGCATAGAACCAAAGTTCCTCCTCTTTTGCACACTGATGTGCAACCATCTGCAGAAGGGAGCGTTCCTCCAGCTTGCATCTGCTAAAGATCATTTGCACACCCACCTGCCTCACCTAGAGGCACGCACCTGTATTCATGGTCACTCTTAGATGTGTGTGCAACCCCTGGTTTGGGGTTGGTTATATTGGGTTTCCCATTTCCTCTTTTCAGCAAGATCAGCCTGTCACCTCAGCAAATGCCAATTTTTAAATTAAAAGCTGAATTTGCTTGAACCCAATTTTAGTCTGTGCTCAGTGAGAAGCATTTCTTCTCTGACCTTCTAGATAGCTGCAACAACTTCTTCCCCTTCATGTAAGATACAGGATGGCCTTCATCCAATTGGAAAGCTTTTGGTACAAGAGGAAGGCACCCACAAATTTCATATAATACCTGCTGTCAGACCTTGCAGCTGTGGGTAAAGTGGGCTTTACTTTCTCTCAACTAAAAATTATCGTAGTTCGGCACTGCATCAAGCCACACACACATCCTGATCCCTGGGTTCATTCACTACACAACAGCCAGCCAGGAAGATGCACCCACACAATTAACCCCTTTTCTCTTATGCGTACTCAACTGGCAGCAAGTGAATTTGTGCCTGATTCCCCCAGCATCAGTGGAAGAGTTCTCTCCACCCAGTGCTGTCTATCCAGAGATGTTCCATGATCTCTTTCCCCTCTCCCACTCAAATACCCCCTCACCCCTGACAGGGCTGGCTGGTGGATCTCTCATGGCTCTCTGGGAATCCTCCTCTTTCCTCACTCCTGCATATGTTTGATTTCCATGCATTCCCAGGAAAAACTTCTCTTTGAAACTATCGGTGCTGAAGCCCAGGTTGGAAAACTGTGTTCTCTCCTGTATTAACATTCTGTGGTTTGTATCTCTTGTGAGTCACTGCATGCTCCCCGTTTTCTGCACTCCAGATAGAAAGTCCTGAAGTTTTCATTCATTTTTAAAATTAAAATGAGAGAGAAGGGAAGAAGCAACCTGGTCTTGATACTTGATTTCCACACAATGGTATCTTCCGATGTGCGTAGTTACGAAGATGGACAAGACCAAGTAAATTAGAGGGGACAGTTAAACCTCTAAGGATTTGTGTAAATTCCTGTTTTGTCAAGTTAGCAAAAATAAATCTAGGTCAATTGCAATAGTTTTAATTTAGCTTATTTCAGAATTTTTGTGCAATGAGTGAATTTGGTCAGTGATGTGGATTGGAACTATTTGAGCATGTGCCTCCGCAACTAAGCTGGAACTACCAAATGTAGAGAGAACCATTGCCCTGTAAATATGATCTCCGGATCCCAGGAGTGCACTTAACGTCCTCGTGTATGCGCCCATGCACTGGGTGCCCCAGCCCGTCTTGGTGCGTGTTGTTAACGTTCTCAAATGGTTGGGAGGCGGGAGTTCTGTGAGGCTGAGACCCAGAGCACAGGAGGTTTGCAGGGCTAAGGGCTTGCAAGTGCTTTACCCTGCAGTGCTAGTAGTGATGATCTATATCCCACTTCGGGGTGTCAAGGGGTCGGAGCAGTTTAGTCTTCATGGTCAGTTCAGCATATGGTAAATCTGCTGAAAGGGGCCCCAAGGTGACCATCTGGGATGGTGGTTTTGCTGATGTCAGCATCTCTCCACTAGGGGCTGGATTGATCCCCCCAAATTCACTTTAATTCCCTTTTAACATCTGTTTGTTTGCCCTGTGGTATGTCTCCTGAAATTCAATAAGTCAAATATATGTGTTTTTAAACTACAGTATAATTAATATTTGCATTGTGGTAGCACCTATGAGCCTCAGTCATGGGCCAGGACCCCATTGTGCTGGGACCGGTATAAAACCAGAACAAAAAGATGGTCCCTGCACCAAAGAGCTCACAGTCTAACTGCAAACACTTTAGTTGGGTCAGAATAATCACCACCGGAAAAATAAAGTAACAACAATGAATGTGCTCAGCACAGCAAGTGGGTCCTTCTTTACCTGCTAAATCTATCCACCTCCTACTTGGGCTCAGTCTCCAAGCCAGCTCTAGCTGCAATTGCCTGCCAATTTCATACCATTTTTGAACTCTTCCACACCCTGTTCCTGACCTAAAAGGAGCAGTAACCAGACATTCCCCACAGCTATTAAAAAGCACCCTCCACCCCACCCTCTTGGCCAGTGATTGCCTTTCCAGAGCAAATGAGAGCTGAGGTAACTCATTTGAGCAGAAGGAGAAAAATGGGTTGAAGGTGGAAAATAGTCAAGTAGTATTAATGGCAATGTGTGGGCTGTTGGGCACATCCAAGACTTCCTTTTTATCTTCTAGGTCAGTGTCACTGCATCCTCCTCAGTTCATTTCTAAATGCTATTCATATGACGTGACATGTAATCTGTGCCCCTCTGAAGTGTGCAGAGGGGAAGCAAGTCGGTAACAGATATGACAACAGGGCATTCTTGACTCATTTTGAGAAGTCTGGGGTCAGAGCTGTATCATTTCAGTCTTCCGACAATGGCTCGGAGTCCAGGGATTCTTTTTGCTCTCAACCTCCGGTCTGTTTTAAGACAATGTCTCTTTACTATTAACTTGTGTAAAATGCTGTTTTAACCAGTTAACCAGATTGACTTCCTGGCTGTACGTTTGCTTTGGAGACATCTAGCCTCAAGCATGAGGGTCGAAAGTACCTCTGAACGCGAATAGTGCAGTTTCATCATGGTGCAGTATGGAAGTTTCTTTTGTTAGCTGCAGTGGACAGTACTGAAGAGTGTCTCTCCAGGCTGGTTTTCAAAGACAAACCTGAAACTTCAAGAGTTTCTTAAAACTAAGCCCACCTGAGCCTGTAGTTTCATTGTGGGTGAAAGTGCATCGGAAGATACTAGCATAGGAACCAGGCAGAGTCATTCCCTTGCGTTGCATTCTTTGGAAATGTGCATATATGGGTTTTGGTGGGGCACAGGTAGAGAGGAACCTTTTTGTTGTAAATGCTCCAAGGAAATCCTCTGCTGTTATACCCACTCTAAAGGGTGGCAGTCTTCATGCATGTAACTTCAGTGTTAGGATACCGCTGTAATTTTAGTTGGCTGCAGTGAACGCCCCATACGAGGGCTTTATGGCTCTCTTCACTGCATCTTCGTAGGAAGCTAAGTAGCTTGACACATCAAAGCTTGCTGAACACAAATGTACTTAGCTAAGCTAAGGACAAATGTGGGGGTGCTGTCCCTTTAAGGGGCAAGATCCGGGCAGAGGAAGGAGGGGCTGGTCAAGCTGAAGGTGAATTCAACAGCACGGGTGCAATTACTGGGAAATGGCACTACGGGAGGCTCTGTTACCAGCAGGGTTTTGAGTGATGCCTCCCGGACCATCCGGGCCAGAATTATCCTGTCGGAATCACATTCCATGGAGTTGGCTTATTGCCATTTTATTTGTTTTAATTCTAATCTGCATGCACAAGGCTGGCATGTATGCATTTCTATTGAATAATCCAGGACTTTATTATAGGTTGTCCGTAGAAGCTTGGACATACGTTTCCTTTCCCTACTAACTTTACCCTTTCCTGCTTGACAAGTATACATCTCCCCCATCCCACTCCCCTCTAACTCGGCACTAGAGGGCCATTGCTTCCTTTGATTTACTTTCTTGTTTGAGCATTCGGCATCATCAGTGACCTTTGCAGTAGCATGCACAGCTCTTGTGCTGCTGCTAGCCCAGCGGGGGAAGCATAAGAGCACATGGTCTCAGAGTCCAGGACTACAGTGTTGATCACAATTCTAGGGGGCAGTGTTTTCAGTCCAGAAAGTGGCATGGAGAAGTTCTTGGGTGAGCCTTTGCCAAGCTCGGAAAAACCTGAAAGGTGTTACCAAAGCCCTCCCAGATGGTCATGTGCTTCTCTGTGCTTCCTCTTCTGTCACTGCTGAATCTCCACCTCCTTCTCCATGCCTTTCTGAAGCTACATCCCAGAATCACTGTGATGGTGACCAGTTGCAATATTGCAATGAACACATGCCTGTGGCTCATTAAATGAATTGGGTGGAAGGATCATGATGGTTAGAAAGAGGGCTTCACGGAGGGATGGGGTGAGGACTGGATGGCTCCGAAGGGATGTACTGTTCAAAGTCTGCCCGTGGGGTTAATGATTATAAAGTTAGCACTTGAGGGCTGCTGTTTGGCCTCCGTCCTGTTCCTAGTGGACAAGTGCCCACATCCCAGTACTGCCATTGGCCACTTTGTTGGCGGCCTCAGCAGAGGCCAAGTCCCGAGTGAGCAGCATAGAGAGAACTCTTGTTGCTAGCAGGGTGTGTTTGAAGGGGGAGTGGGCCTCCCAAGCCAGCGGCACAATGGCGAGGGGACAGTGTGGGGAAGTTTGCACTGTTACCCTATGCTGCCCCACTCTGTTGAGAAACTAAAGGGCTTTGCGTCCTCGGGCTGCCAGCTGGCACCTTCCATCAGCACTAAATTCATACACAGAGTTCAAGGGAAAAGGAGAGCAGTAGCTCCTGGCCAAAGTCCAGATACCATGAGGAGCTTCAATGATGGTGGGAGAGGGATGCCCAGGAACACACATGGCATTTCAATGGGCTTCGGTCATCTCCCTGTAGCAGTAGCTCCTTCGGCATAAGTGCAATCATGGGCTGCATCTCTGTAGTGAGCTGAGGGATGTTTTCTTTCCTCCTCTGTCGTAACAGCTCCTTGCCAGAAGAGAAAAGCAAAACCAGCTCTTCTTTTGAGACTTGTCCAAAGCCAAGTGAGAAGCAGGACTCGGACCAAGCTGAGGTGGATCCTGAGCAGAAACGGAGCCGTGCCCGGGAGCGCAGGAGAGAGGGGCGCTCCAAAACCTTTGACTGGGCCGAGTTCCGCCCCATTCAGCAAGCCTTGGCGCAGGAGAGAGCCCTCGCTGCAGAGTCCTCGAAGAGCGGCTCCACGGCCTTTCCCAGGGAACCCAGCGCTCCGGACGCAGACCCCGGGGAGCTGGAACGGGAGCGGGCTCGGCGGAGAGAGGAGAGACGCAAGCGCTTTGAGATGATCGATGCTGTTGATGGGGCAGGCCCAGATGACATGTTGAGGATGGAGGTGGACAGGATCCCAGGCCTGCCCATCGCAGGGGAGGCGAAGCCACAGAATGTCCATGTGGAGATCGAGCAGCGATGGCACCAGGTGGAGACGACCCCACTACGTGAGGAGAAACAAATCCCCATCATGCCCCTGCACCTGGCCCAACCAGATGACCGAGACGACGGGATCCACAAGCAGCAGCTAACCTCACTGCTGGAGAAGGAGGTAAAATGAGAGGAGGAGGGAGCAAGTCAGGGCTTTGGCTCCAAGGGGCTGCTTGAGCTGCCTCAGCCTGTGTGGTGATGGGCCTTCACGTTACACCAAAGTGGGTAGCAGCTGGACAGTTCAGTCACAGGCTGAATTTATTGCTGCATTAAGAGCAAAGGGGATAAGTGGACACAATAGGGCCCCTTTGGGGAAATACAGGGACCAGGCCCATGACCTGGCATTTCCCATTTTCTTCCGATTTGATTGGCTCTTCCCTACTTCTACATCTCCTGGAAGGACAGTTATTGCAATGGGGGTCCTTTGGCATCTTTTTCTAGTCAAGTCAGGCCAGAGGCTGTAGTGGTTGTTTATTAACAAGCCTTCCACTGTGATCTGAGCCCAGTTCAAGTATATTAATGCTGTCTGAAATCAGGCTTCAACTTCTGAACCTATAATTGTGAGTGTGATTTTGTGTGCGCATGTGCGCACAACAGCTCTGCCGACCTGCACACCTTGTAAGTGTGCAAAGCTGGTTCTGCTTGTCTGTCACGCACAATGAGCAATCTCATGTTGTTGGAAACCAGAAAGAAAGTTGATGCCATAAATGAGCTAGGAAAGGAGGGGTAGGAAGCTCAACTTGCTTGGAAGAGGCCCAAGTCTGGCATAACATGGGTTGGTTGCTGCAGGTCAGAATGAAGGTGCATTAGCAGAGCTGTGGTTGGGGGAAGGAGAGCTTGCCTGGGTTATGCCTGGCTCCTGCCAGTGCTGTTAGTCCCTCATTTCAGCGAACTTCAAAAATTAAACAAATTCATAACGTTGGGGTTTTCTGTGTTTGGTCTGAGAGGGGGGGTGTTGTCAAATTAAATAAAGCCCAAATCTCAGCAGGAAGAGAGGAGATCGCTCCATGCTAAATGCTTTTGAACCACTTCCTTCCGTGCTTCTTCAACCACCCCTTTGGGTTCTGTCTTTGTCCATTTCCAACAGTTGGAGCAGAGCCAGAAGGAGGCATCAGACCTCCTTGAGCAGAACCGGGTCCTGCAGGGCCAGCTGAAGGTGGCACTGGGCCGGGAGCAGAGTGCCAGGGAAGGCTACGTGTTGCAGGTAGGAGAGTGAGAGAGGGAGAAATCTCCATCTTTCGCTGCAACTGCAAACCTGTTGGGCTTCAGTCCAGGGTGCTCATGAGTGCATCCAGCGTGGAGCAGAAATGTGCAAACCCTATTGTGCCCCAAGAGACTTTGGCCCCTCTTAAATGCTGCCATCATCGTTTCCCGGCTTCATAAAGAGCATTTCTTTAATAATTCCTTTACTGTTCCAATGGTCTGGGTTCTGGTGGAGAGGAACTCGTCCCCCTAGGGCATTCATATCTGTGTAGAGACAGAAGATATGATGGCCAGCAAGGTTTCACTAAAGGAAAATGAGCCCCAGAGGCATAGTGGAAACAACCTTGACAAAGTTCACTTTGATATCAGTGTCGATGCGTGCACACACCCCCATCTCCTGTCCTGTGCATTCAGGGCTGTGAATTCTGCTCTGGCCACCTGACCTTTCTTATGGACTTCTGTGGTGGCTTTTGGCTGTATTAAAGGCTGGTGGCTCTGAAAGGCCTGGAATTGTGCTTTGGGGTGGTTAGGAAAGGAGAGAGGAGCAGCTACTCTCTTCCTCTCCACTCTTTTATAGGCTCTTAGATATAGCAAAGAAGACTCCTGCCGTGCCCCAAAAGAAGGGGCAAAGCTTATGGAGCTGCAGCAGGCTGGCTCAGCAAGAATTTCTTCTTGTTCTCTGGTCTAGGTAGCATTTCAGCTGCTGACTTTTACATGGTCAAACCTGCTGTGGAACAAGGTTGCTAGTGGCTGTGCTAGGGGCAGGAGGGGTGGAGGGGCTGGGTTTGGCATCCAAGGCTATGCCCACTTCCTGGGCTAGAAGCACTGGGGAGGTAGCATGCTTAGCCCAAGGGAGGCAAGAAGCACCATGTGTGCTCAGTCAGTCACCCCGCTGGAGGAGGAAGATTGATCTGTTAGTATTTGTATGGTGGGACGGCCCAGAGGCCCCAGTCAGGATCCAAGGTCCCCCATGCTGTATGAACATATAGGACCATACAGTCCCTGCCCCAGGAGCTTACAATCCAAGCAGTGTTTGTCCGGGAGGATGGAGTCACAGTCTGGGATTTCTGGGGAGGGAGGAATTCCCTAGGTTCTGAAATGAGAGCGGAGATTCTTCCAAGAGGAAACAAAATGGGCCTAGCAAAGTAGCCAGCTATGCTGCAGAGGAAGCACCCTAAGCTTCCAAGAGGGAAGAGCTTCTCTTAACCTGCTGCTGCCAGCTCTCTGCCAGACTGGGGAGTTCTACCTAGCCCCCTTAAATTGGAAGACTAGCTGGCAAGAAAAAGGGCTTGTGAGGGTGGAGAGGGATGAAGGTCTTGGATGGGCTGACCCAGGGGGAGGGGAGAAGAAAGCTAGACAATTCCTGTGTTTGTTAGCAAATTCCAAAATGTTCATTGGACTTGCCACTTCATGATCTGCAGCTGTAGCTTCATGTTCTTAGACTGTGTTTGATATTCTGTTATGGCAGCAACTCATGTTGGCTACAGGCCCTGGGCAGGATCCCAGATTTCCATAACAACAGACCAACTGCGGCTTCCCTAGGGTGAAGGCATCTTGCCACCCTTAAACTGGAGCCCAGCAAAAAGTAGACTAGCACAAAATTGGCTACCAAAACCTGCTCCACCATGCTTGACATTCTGAGTTGGCCTTAGTGCCTTTGAAGTTAGGAATAAGAGCAAGAATCAAAGTACCTAGTAGGTGGGCGCAAATCAGCTCTCATACAATACCAACCAACCCACTTTTTCATCTAAAACTAAATTGAATCTTGTTGAGAGTCTGAGAATGTCTGTCTTCCCCCTCCCCACCTTTGATGGCTGCCTTTGCATTTCCTAATTCTGGTAGACAAATTCCAGAGCTAAAATTCCATGTGAGAATTGAGTATTTCTAGTCCAGCAAGAAACCATTAGTATCTGAGAGAGGGATCCTGTTCCCTGTTAACCATCAGAACAATTTACCAAGGGTCACGGTAGATGCTCCATCACTGGCAATTTTTAAATCACGATTGGCTGTTCTTCTTAAAGTTATGCTCTGGAATTATATTAGAGACGTTCTCTGGCCTGTGATGTACAGGAGGTCAGACAAGAAGATTGCAGACCTTCTGGCCTTGGAATTTATGAATCTTTGAGAGTTCCAGCACTACTCTGCAGACCCAGAAAGTCTGGATAAACTTTAGGGTACTTACCTGAACAGAGTTTCTGTATTTTTGTGAGGTCTTGCCCACTCCCAGTCCTTATCCTTTTACAGATCCCTTTCATGGGCATTAACACTGTTGGTTCTGGCAGCAAACACTCTGCACATTTCTTAATAATAACAACGCTGCTGGACAAGAATTGGTACTGACGCATGCACCTTGCACTGAAGCCGGTTTTGAGCTCTTGTAACCCCTCTGACGTATCTTGCTGTTAAGCTTAGTCACAACTGAAATATCTTGACCCCTTTGAATTCTAACAGGGGGTAAAGCACTAGTGCTCACTCTTTCTCTTTTACATACCTGGGATGTCTTCCAGCTCTGGTGAGGGAGGGGGTCACTTTACTAACCTGCCCTGGGTGGATATTCTTGCATGTTTTTGGTGTTAAGCATGACTTTAATGTAACATAACTGAGTGTCACATCTGTGGGCTTTCCCTACCAGCAAACAGAGTACAGCAAGGCGGGCCAAATTCCTAGGCTTAACGCTGTGCTTCTCTTGCCTTTTCCTGTTTGTGTATTTCTTTTAAAGATATATAATTTCTGTCGACTTATGCATGACTCTCTTTGTGAGTTTTCTCTTTGCATGCTACACTGCTTTGGTTTGAATCTCACAAAGGTTTGTTTGTTTTTATTTTACGTTCTCATCGTACCTGTTTTTCCCTTTCACTTGTCTTCTTTTACAGGTAGAGAGATTAGATCCTCCCCACTCTTAAGATTTAGTAATAATAATCTTTTTTAAAAGATGAGCAGCCAGATGAAGAAGCCTGTTTAGCCATTACAGAAATGACATCACTATGGCAGCCATCTCCTCTTCCTGTGGCTTGGCAGGAAGTGATGTCATTTACTTTCAACCTCACTTCCTGTTGTTGTTTTTGTTCTGAAGGACTTTGTTATCTGGAATTGTGCACTTTTTGTTTCACAACAAACTAAAACAAACAAACACACCAAATTGAGCAGCTCCTCTCTCCCCAACCTGTTCCTTTCCCTCCCTGTCATCCTCACTCCCTTCCAGTCTTTCATCTCTGTTTTATTTTACTAGTGTTTCCTTTTCCATTGTTTTGGTTTTGTTTGACTTGTTTCTCATAGACTGTTACCTTAGAGATGTTTCAATGTTACCATCTGTATTTTCTGTTAATCAGAAGCAGATATTGCCCCCTTTAAAAAAAACAAAACAAAAAAAGGTGGTTTAAAAGAAAAATTGAACCAAGAACAGAAACCTTCCAAAATTGGAGCATATGGGTAGCAGCCAAAACAATCCAAGGAGCTTTCCCATGGTCAGACCTGGCCAAAGGTGTGACACTCAGAACTGGGACCCAAGTATTACTAATCTAGTATTTAATCAATTTTTTTAAGACCGAGGTGGCAGCCTCACCATCGGGTGCCTGGCAGAGGCTCCATAAAGTCAATCAAGACCTCCAAAGTGAGCTGGAAGCCCAGTGCCAGCGTCAGGAGCTGATCAATCAGCAGATCCAGTCACTGAAACGTAGCTATGGTGAGGCAAAGGATGTGATCCGGCATCATGAAGCCGAGATTCAGAGCCTGCAGGCAAGGCTCAGTAATGCTGCGGCTGAGCTGTCCATCAAAGAGCAAACTCTGGCCAAGCTGAAGAGTGACTTAAAGAGTGAGAAGGAGAAAGCCAAAGAGCAGCTGGAGGAGTGGCAGCACAGTGAGACCACTCTGAGCTCCCAGTTAAAAGCCAGTGAGCAAAAGCTGAAGAGTGCAGAGGCGCTGCTGCTGGAAAAGACACAGGAGCTGAGGGATCTTGAAATGCAACAGGCATTGCAAAGGGACCACCAGAAGGAAGTGCAGAGGCTCCAGGACAGGATTGTAGACCTGAGCAGGCAGCTGAACGCTAGTGAACAGGCTCGGATCCTAATGGAGGAGAAGTTGCAGAAGAATTATGAGGCTTTGTTGGAAAGCTGTGAGAAGGAAAAGCAGGTTTTAATACGGAGTCTGAAGGAGGTGGAGGATAAGGCCAGCGAGTACGAGAATCAGCTTCAAAACAATGAGCAGCAGATGGAAATTCTTCAGAAAGAGAAACTGAATGCAAAATTTGAAGGCAGCGAGATTGTCCACCAGCTAGAGGAGCAACTGGAGATGAAGGAAGCCAGCATCCAGAAGCTTGCTGAGGACATCAAGGAACTTGAAGGGGAGAGAGATCAGATCAGATGTAGGTTCCAAGAGCTGATGAATCAGGTTGAAGAGTCAGATAACGAAGTTGCCAAGCTGCAATCAAAGTTGAAAATGGAGGAGACCAACTATGATAAGCTGGAGCAATTGTACGAGAAAGTATCAGATCAGTTCCAGAGCGTGCAGAAGGTGCTGGAAGAAAAAGAGGAAGAGCTGAGACACGTTAAGGAAATGCACTTGAGAATGGTTGAAAAGAAAGATCAAGACCTCAATGAGGCTTTGGTTAAAATGGCTGCTTTGGGCAGCAGTTTAGAGGAAACAGAAGTAAGGTTACAGGCCAAAGAAGAGGTTTTAAAGAAGTTAGCTAATGTGGACTCAGTACCGTGTGCTAAAGATATGGAGGACTTCTGCACTAATCTTGAGGCTGCTGAAAGTCACATTCCAGACATGCCAGCTCCTGAGGGGCTTCCAGGTTTGAATTATGCACTAAAGGAGGAGGTTGCTGAACGTCCTGAGACCAGCCAGAGTCTGGCTGGTGAGCATACCATGTTGAATGCCGAAGAACTTAGGTCTCTGTTGAAGTCTACCAAGTGTCAAGACAGAGAGCCACAGCAGAAAGCCTTAGTGAAGCCTGATATAGGAACCCTAGGTGCCAAAAGGCAAAGAATCCGCTTCTCAAACATCCAGTGCCAAAAATACATCCATTCAGATGGGTCGGAGAAAAATTGGACTAGTAGCACATCTTCAGACACAAGCCAGGACAGATCACTGTCCGAGGAAAGCATGTCATCAGAACCAGTTCTTGGTTACCCAGCCTCAGGAACCAGTGACTCTGAGACTTATCTCTCAATCATCCATTCCCTGGAAACCAAACTTTACATCACAGAGGAAAAGCTCAAAGATGTGTCCATGAAGCTTGAAAGCCAGCAAGGTCATAACCAGGAAACTCTGATAGCCCTCCACCATCAGTGGGCCAGCACAGAGTCCCAGCTTAGGGAACAGCTCCAAGCTAGCTTATCTGAAGTTGGTGCTCTGGTTTCACAGCTGGAAAATGAGAGACAGGAAAAGTTCAGAATGATAAAAAATCATGTCAATGAGCTGGGAGACTTCCAAGTGAAAAATGATCAAACCCTGATCTGCTTAGAAAAATGCAGAGAACAGCTAAGGGCTTTACCCAAATCTGACCAGGAGAAAGAGAGAGATTTGTTTCTTACCACTCTGTCCAGCATGGAAACCACCTTGTCAAATGCAGTCCAGGTCTTGCAAGGGACACCCATCGCCTCTGATTATCAGCAGAGCGAAAGCTGTGTGGCTCAAACTCCACCTGCTGAAGGGAGTTTGCAGGAGGAACAGACACTCATTTCCCAGCAGCAGCAAGTTGAAATGTCTGATGGAGACCAGTTAAGATTGCTTTCTGAGAGGATAGCATTTGAAGCCTCCCTGATTAACCAAATAGCAGAATCTTTGAAAAATGCAAGCTCAGAGATTTCCCAGATTCTCAGAGAGATTCATGGGACAGCTGAGGTGGTTTTTTTAGAGCCGGCAAATGTGTCACATACAGCAATTGCCTTGGCCAACATCTTATCTAAGAAGCTGCTACTGGAAGGTGAATTTTGGAGCCAGGTGGAAGAACTGAGAAAGCACTTGGGCACCAGAGAAGAGGAGGTAGAAAGCAAAACAGAAGCAGCTAGTTTTAGTTTTCCCCAATGCCTTGTCCAAACAGTAGCAGATGCTACATTGATCAGGGCAGAACTTGGTTTTGTGGCACAGAAGATGCGAGAGTCTTTTCATCAGAGGTTAAAAACAATTGAAGAAGACCTCCACAATACCAAAACAGCTCTCCAGCAACATAAATGCATGTTAGAGGAAATCATCAAAGCATATAGGACCTCTGAATTTGACAGGGTTATGCATCAAATTTCTGAAGCACTTGAAATCCAAAAAGATGCTTCAGAAAGAACCCAAACCTCTTGGGATAGGAGTCACCTCAAGGTAATGCCATGTCAAGATTCAGCCAAGATGATACAGGCCCATGGTTTGCCAGACCATAGTAGTGAAGCTCTTGTTGCCATTCAAGAAGACCTTGCCCAACAACTCAAAGAAAAAGCAAATGTTCTTAAAGAAATATCTGTTGCCTTACTATCCTTGTCCCCTGAGGAAGCCATACGCGATTGCCAGAAGCTGCTAAAAATTTCTCAGTGTCTTTCATGTCATACATGCATGGGAGATCTTGAGCGCTATTCATCATTGTTAGTTCAAGATGCAATTATCCAGGCTCAGGTTTGTTATGGAGCTTTCAAAGTTAAACTCAAGTATGAAAGGGAGCTAAAATTTTACAAAGAGTCCTTGCAAAACATGGATGCTCTGTGTCAAGAGCGTGTAAAGACAGTGTCTGCCCTTCGTGAGGAGTACGAAGACCTGCTTCGAAAGCAGCAGAGTGAATATGCCGAGATGATAGCCATCATTGAAAGGGAGAATGTAGACCTTAAGGCAAAAGTCTCTCAGCTGGACAATCAGCGGAGGCTCTTGGAGGAAGAAGAGCACAAACACAGCAAAAACTTATTTGAGTTACAAGGCAGGTATGAGGAGGAGATGCAAAATGTGATTGAGCAGTTGACTAGGACAGAGGACACTCTGAAGGCAGAGAGAACAGAGGGCCTAAATCAACTTGATGCCATCATCCGAGATAAGCAAAACATGGAAAGGTATCACCTTGAGCAAATGCAAATGTTGGAGGACAAGTTCCAGGCCAACATAAAGGAACTGCAAATCATCCACAATGAGGAACTGCATACTTTGCAGGAGCATTACAACCAGAACCTGCTGCGCTTACAAGAAACACTAGACAATTACCAGAGGCAGCACCCAGAAGCCTTGCCTTCCAAAGGGTCTGAAACCAGTGACGGGAATGAATGGGCAACAGATCAGCCCAAGGGCGGGATGCTGGTCTCCGAGAGCGAGTTAAACTCCATGCACGGTTTGAGAGAGCGCATTCAAGAGCTGGAAGCCCAAATGAATGCCATGAGGGACGAGCTGGAGAACAAGCACGTGGAGGGGAATGCTTCAGCACTGAGGGAAAAATATCAGAAAGACTTTGAGAACCTGAAGGTTTTGAATACATTTAATTTTACCCCATAACCCTTCCTTCCTATCAATGCAATGTTCCAGTTTGTTCGGAGGCCCTTCTCGTACATATGGTTCCCCACACAGGGACAACACTCCCCATAAGACCTAAGACAGTTAAGAGAAACCAAACCAATTAAAATGACCTGTAAAGTCTCTCTCAACGCACGTTAGTTTTCTCCATGCTTCCCTTCTCTGTGCTGGGATGCATTCTAAATGTGTTGCTTAGTGCTTCTAGTCCCTTGTACCTGGCTGTTTTAAAAAGGCTCAGCACAATGAGAGAGAATTATTTGATTGGGAACGGTGGCAGAGGCTGCTGGTGATTTAGTGGTGGGAGTCGGGGTCAAAAATGGCTGTAATAATGTCACGCTGCAACCAAGCCTCCTCCAAACACGAACATTGCAGTGTTTTCCTCATGGCTGAGTCATACATTCTGTGCAAAGCAGCTTCCCAGAGCTCTTTCCTGGTCTGATCAAACTTCAAGCCCAGCTCCCTTGCCTTCAGAGCCCTAATGCAAAATGTAAATGTATACTCTCAAAACGTATGTTTGTGGGAGGAGGGGAGAATCTGTCTGGTTAAGAGGACAAGTTTTATAGACAAAAATTAATACTAATCTCGGCTCTATGTGGCTAACAGGGAAATCCAGTGTTGCTGCTTTTTCCAGCAGTTCTTTACGTGACAAACAGTGCACAGTTGTTGGAGCCCGGAAGTAGGTGCAGAAACAAAGTTTGAAGGAACAGGAGCAATGGCCACAAAATGCATTTACACACGATGCTCCACCATTCAGGGCTGGCTATCAAAGCAGCACCTGGCATTACAGCTTCTAAAGACTGTTGTTTTTTGAACTTGAGACCATTTCCAGCTGGGAGCTGGTTCTGTAGCAGTGAAATATGGAGTTGCTAACAGCGCTCGAGCTGATTTCCAGGTTGAATATGGAGCGCAGGTACCAAAAGGTCAGCCAATCCAGACTGCAAGCAAGGACCCAGGGTTCATGGGCAGAGAAGCAAGTCAGACAGAGGTGCTTGCAAGGGAGCAATAATACTTCAGAGTCAGCAGAGAGATTTTAAAGTGACGAGAGAGCCTGAGTCTAGCAGGAGCATTATTGAACCGTGCAATCTGCAAGGCTTGGAAGTAAGGGATGGGGCTAGGGTTTATGCCAGTTTCTGGATACATAAAATTTTTAGCCTGGGAAGAATGGTAAATCTACCCAAGTTCCTCTTCCTTTTCCTGAGACAAACCCCTCATTCGGCAGGAGGTGCTGGATAGATTGGAGCGTTAAGGACAGGAACCGCATTTCTTAAACACACAGGTCCTAGGATATCTGTTGCTGTGACTTCCACAGACAGCTCCAAACTCCAGTTACTCTTTGAGAGGAAAATCCCTTCCTAAACTCTTACCCAACTTCTCCCTCAGCCCAGTCACTGCCACGGTTACTCTGTCCTTGAAAACTAAAAAGACCTTGGAATCAGTGTCCCGGGAAACATGCCATTTTCCAAATAGGGTCCAAGAGGAAGAGTGTTCTTGCTTTATAAACAATTCCCTTTATTGTGCATCCCACAGTGGCCTTTTTGCTGCTTCCAAACTCGCTCGAAAAGCCATTAGACCTCACTGCCTCAGCTGTTTTCAAACTGAGACTCCCTATTGGAGACTGCTGGAAACCTGCAGTTTGCCAGATGGCAAAACAATGGAGCAGTAACCTTTGGCAGACCTGTGCTGAGGAAGGACAGAGAGAGATCTCTAGATCTCCCTCCCTCTCGCCTTCCCTCACTTGTATGAACTGAGGGGACAGAAACAAAAATATCAAATTAATCTTGGTTACTAGGAAGCTAACCCAGGCACTTTCCAAAACTCTCTTTAATATGCACATTAAAATAGCATTAAAATACTTTTCTCCTTTCTTTTGCATACTCTGGAACTTAACGACCCTCACTAATTTCTCGGATTTACAGCAATGCGTTTACAATAAACTAAATACTGTACCTACCAACCAATGTTATTAAGAAGCACTTGCCAATTTTCCTCCCTGTGTTATGCCTGTAGATAAGAATCCTAGCATAACAAAGCTACCTCACCCTGATGCTCAGTCAGCCAAGTCCAGATAGGTTATGGCACTGGGTTATTAGCAAGAAACAAGGTTGAGAAAAGGAAAAATGCCTCAGGATAAAAAAGCAAGTCAAAGAATAAAATCCAGACCTAGAATTCACACTGATCACATAGCATTAGACGATAAACAGGGGACTCTTAAGAATAAGAATCAGTAGGGCTCAGTGGGTAACGCTCTCACCTCTGGAGTCACATGTTAAGTCCTACATGAGGACTTAGGCTCATAACTAGTGCTGATGCTACAGGATACGCTCAGCAGGTGCTGTATTGATACAGGAGCCATTAAACTTTAGCCACTGAAGACAATCCAGGTTAAGGTTTAAGCTCCTCTGGTCAGTGCTGTCATTCAGTAAACCAGACTCTGATGACCCAGGCTGTATATCTGAGTGCATAGAGCAGAGAGAAACTGGCAATGCAGGGTTGGATTTGTGGGGTAGAAGTTGCAGGGGGGTCAGTTCACAACCCTTAAATTCTACTTTGGATTCATTCTGACCTCAAACTTAACTGAAACAGTTAAGTTTCTGTGGCTCCCACCAAACACACTGGTGTAAAATCAAGCAGAGCTCCAGTGAGGTCAAGGTAGCTGAATGACACCAGTCTCAAACTGGCATAAATAGGAGGAGAATCTGACCCGTGACTCAAACCCCGTTTGCCAAGAGGTTCATGAAGTATGATGGGACCATTTGGCTAGTTTAGCTCTAGTGTCAGGTTTGTAACACAGCCCTGAATACAGGCACGTTTCAGAACTCACTAGCAGAGTTTTCATCACCAAGCTTTGTCTACATAGGTCCTGCCCAGGATCTGATGCACTTTGAAGCTCCTGGAATCTCAGTTGCATTCTCTCCTGCTTGGTTTCCTGGAGTATGGGTCTGGCAAACGCATTTGTTGCTGTGTGGAGAACTGAAACTAATTCCCAGTTGCTTTGCCTTCTGATTCGTTTTCAGAGCTCTCTTCCCAAGTGGGGTGCCAGGAGGAGCAGATTAGAGGAGCTGGCTGGCTTCTGAAATGGAAGGGAAATCTTTGAGCCAGGGTGGGCCTACAAAGTGACCCACTGAGAGCGGAAATAGGGCTGGCTCCTGCACGGGGGAGCCAAGTACTGCATGTGTTATTTCTTCTGTAGCTGATGGCCTGGCACGGGGAATATGGCACCTTCATGAAATAAAGAAAAATCTAAGCAGGAGCCATGCAACTCATGACTCAGCCATCTGTGCTCTGTGGGAGCTGGTGGGTAGAGATGCTGAGGATCAGGGCTGTCGGCTTCTTCCCTGACCCGACAAACGCAGGAAAGAGGCCGTGTAGATTGGAGTTTGGTTGCTGTGATGGACAAGCACAGGGAGGCTCCATGGCTACAGCCCTAACATGTGGGTTGTGGTGCTGTTGGATCTCACCAGGGCCTGGTCAGCAGTTGGCTGGTGCTCCTAAGAGCAGCACCTATGTTCTGCAGAGGAAAATGCTGGTGATGCAGTGGGTGAAGGCCTGCCCTCCGAGTCAGTACAGAATCGAGGTTCTGGTGCTGGGATGCAGGAGGTGCCATCATTTAGATGAGAGCCAAAATTCAAGACCTCACTGTTTGTGATTATTATAAATCCCATAACACTTTCCCCAAGAGATGGCCCCATTGTCCCAGCCTTACTCCAACTCTGGTAACTAATTCTAGCACCCTGAATTCCTCAGACAGTTTCAACTGAATGTGGTATTCGTTCATCTTCACCTCCTGTCCTAAACTATAATACAGTGTTGCTGTTAAACAGCTACATTCCACCCTAGAGGTGGCTGCATTTCCGTGGTGGTTGCATGCCCCTTCTGTAGCCTGCACTGGAGATTAGGGGTTTGAAAAGAGACTTGAAAGCACAAATTTAATTGCTTTTGAAAGTGAGGAACTGGTAATCTGGTAAGAGCCCATCATGTTGCAACTCCAGCCTATGCAAACTCGCCAGTAATCCCTTTCTCTTCCCAAATAGATCATTGTCACTGCAGCTCAAACATGCCCTGCAGCCGTTGTCCTGGACCTCGCACGTGGCCCTGCTAATGGCTCTCCAACATACCAACTGGTACTCCAGCCCTGGGCCCCTACACGCCCCTGCCAAGGCATCTGAGTCTTGGCCTGCAGAACACCCTTGCGCTTGCCATCACGTGCCACTGCTTTACAGAGGCTGTCACTCAGGCTGAGCATCAGAAGTTTGGGATGGGAGAACGTGGGAAAGATTCCTGGAGTTCAGTAGATTTGCTGGAGGCTGCTGTTCTGGGTGTGCAAAGTTGTCCCTCGTGCAGAGAGCAATGAGTGGTACAAAGGAGGTAAAGGGGTTTGAGGGGAGTGTGAGGAACTAGGTGGGGGCTAGGAGGGAATGAACTCCAGCGCAGGCTGGGGGAGATGGTGCAGGACCTGAAGGGTGAGAGCAAGGCTCTGGAAGTAGATGCAGTAGAAGACAGGAAGCTCCCAAAGGGACGGTAGGGATGCATCCTATTACATACATTTTCCTTCCCCCATTTAGGGCCTAATGCCAACCCCACTGAAGTCCATGCTAGTCTTTCCATTCACTCCAGTGGGCTTTGGATCAGGCCCTTAGAGCAATCTCGAAAATGGAACTCTCCCCCCCCCCCCCCCCCCCCACCACCCTTGGACAGCTGTTGGGCCACTCCTTGCCTAATAGAGTTAGAGATGGCAAAGACCCCCTAGATCTGCCAGTCCCTGTCCCCTGGCTAGGGCAGGGCTAGTCCCTACTACGCGCTTACTTATCCATTGTCTGTGTGTCCATTTGCTGGCTGATCCACATTGTGTTCCCCTCTCAGGCTGTTGGGGCAGTGTGTGTGTTCACTGCAGGCACCTTGCCTGAGAGGGCATCGCTCCAGACCATGTTAGGAAGGTAAATTCCAGCTCCCCTTCCATTTTGCAGGCGACATGTGAACGAGGGTTCGCTGCCATGGAAGAGACACATCAGAAGAAGATTGAGGATCTGCAGAGGCAGCACCAGCGGGAACTGGAGAAACTGCGGGAGGAGAAAGATCGCCTGCTAGCAGAAGAAACAGCCGCTACTATCTCGGGTAAGGGCCCAGCAGAGCAGTTGCTCCACTCGTGTGTGACCTGAGGGGGAGGGGAAGGTTCCCTCAGCTGTGTGCATGAGGAAGGGGCGTGTGGATGGAGCACTCACCGCAAGGCAGGGTGGACAGAAAGTGTTGCACAATCAGTGAAGAGCCCAGGGGCTAGTTTCCAGTCTGACAGTGGGAGATCAGGGTGGGTGGAGGGAGCACGGGCTGTGGAGTATAATTGCGGGAGGGTGCGAGGTCTCTGGGGCACAGTTGGGTGAGGGGCGAGGGCAGATGGGGCAGGGTTTCAGGGTGGGAGGGGGTGATTGATGGAGAGCCACCTCCCATCTCTTGTCCTGTTCTGATGTTCCTCTCCTTGGCGATAATGTAGCCCAGCCAGTTTTTCGCTCCATCTGAGGGAGGCGTTACTTACTGCTGGGGCTAATTTATTACCGATTCCACAGTGACTTCATTCTTCAGTGCCCAGGAGAATTTAAAATGCCCAAGCCCAGGCCTTGTGCATTCAGAGTCCCATAACTCAAAAAATAAACTGAATCAGGCAATTGTTGAACGTCTATTAAAAAGCAAGATTTGCAGAAGCCCTTTCACTGCTTTATGGCCATTGGCATGTAATAAAGTGATTGTGAAGCAGGGAAATTACTCACCAAGGTGACTCACATTTTGGGGGAAGGTGGGGGGGGGACTTTGGACCAAGTGGTAAATGCATCACCTCCTGCAGAGCATTAATCCTCTTTCTGTCCTGTGCAGCCATCGAAGCCATGAAGAACGCCCACCGCGAGGAGCTGGAGAGGGAGCTGGAGAAGACCCAGCGCTCCCAGATCAGCAGCGTCAACTCGGATATTGAGGCCCTCAGGAAGCAGTACTTGTATGTTTCTCTCCCCCCCCCCCTTTGCCTCCCCCCGCCTTCACGTTGCACTATGTGCTGCTAATGCTCTAAATTAGCTTGACTCACAGGGCACATTTTTACTCCCTTTGGAAGTGAGGCACTGAGAGAGACCTGTTGTTATAGAGGGTGATGTGGAAGCTCCACTCAGTGCCCCTCCATCCTAACCTGTGCCCTGCCCCGGACCTCCACACCACTCTGCTAGTGCTCCTCAATCCTGACCTGCAGCCCCCTGCCATCCCTGTTGTAGGCTCCCAGAAATCTTTAAATTTTCCGTCTCCAGATACCTGTATCTGCAGCATTCTCTGTGTTACAGTTAACGTAGCGTGCAGATGCATGGTGGTGTTTTCCCTGCCGCTGGAACTTTGTTATTGCTCAATCAAATCTGTTCGCACAAGGCAAAAGCACTAGCCTTCAGTGAGGACCAAATCTGTGTTAGTAGGGGAGTTGGAGGAACAACTAAGCTGCTTTAGCAGGCTTCCTGCCCATGTATAACACATCTGTGCTCAACCCTGTCCACCCACACATACTCTTTCCATCTAAGCTGAGAACAAGCACGGTAGCTTTCAGCCCAAAGAGTAATTTTTAAGTGATCAAAGGAAGTGCCTGAAAGGTTGACGTCCCTCCATTGCAGGTGCCTGAGGTCCCTTCTGGTGCAGGGGCAGGGGTTTCAGGAGAGAAGGAGGCTAGCTGGCCACCTGGTATTCTTCCAAAAGCAGAGTGTCTCCCTCACCCCCCAAGCAGATGTCCTGCTAACCCTGGGCTGTGAGGTGCCCCCTTAATCGGTGGAAAGCTGTGTACACGACCCCGGCCCCAGCCCATCTGTTTCTTGGCTTGGCCCCTCTGCAGGGAGGAGCTGCAGTCGGTCCAGCGGGAACTGGAAGTCCTTTCGGAGCAGTACTCCCAGAAGTGCTTGGAGAACGCTCACTTGGCCCAGGCCCTGGAGGCTGAGAGGCAGGCCCTCCGCCAGTGCCAGCGAGAAAACCAGGAGCTCAACGCACACAATCAGGTGAGGCACCAGCTGCCCCAGAGCTCCTTGCCTGGCCACTCAGGTTTCAGTGGGATTTTCTGGGGCAGTGGGTGGCTTCTCCCATGGGAAGAGAAGTTGGAGGCAAAGCCAGCCAGCTGAACTCCACTGGCTGTACCTGCTCTGCTGTCCTGGCCCTAGGTAATAACATTAAAGCAATGCTAAAAGCAAGCTAGCACCATGGTAGCCCTCAGGACTTGCACGGTGTCTGCATTCCTCCAGCTGTCTCCCCATGCATTCAGCCCCATCTGAACTATACAGCATTGCATAGGGGGAGCCCCACAGAGGGAGCCTTGCAAGGCAACTGGGGACAAAGCCACCCACTGCAGCATTGGATTGGGAAATCTTGTATCCCCTCTGCACACTCAGTGACTCTCTCCTCTTCCCAGGAGCTGAATAACCGCCTGGCTGTGGAGATCACACGGTTACGGACCGGGGAGGGAGGGGGAGAGGCTGCTGGCTCGCCTCTCACGCAGGGCAAGGATGCCTATGAGTTAGAGGTAAGTGCCCTGCCCCCTTTACTACTAGCATATGGAGAGGACAGGGAGGTAGCCACAGAGAAGCTGGTCTCTGATGACCAACAGGATTGCAGATGGTCCCAGCTGTAGATGGGCAAGGAGCACCACGTAGTGTAGGCCCTGACCCCCACCTGGTTAATGAGTGCATCCAGGGCACAGCCCGGGTGCTCACAAGAAAATGGCCTGGCAGTGGGCTAGGAAGAGGGGAGAATGGTGGTCAGAATTATGGTAAAACCACACACGGTGTAGTCTGAGAATGAGACTGAGCCAGCAACTGCTGGATTCTAATCCCACTTCTTCCTCTGGTTCCTCTGCTAGCCTTAGAAACATCATCTAACTTCTACCCTCAATTTTCCAGCCCTAATGTGGGGATAATGCTTATGATGCATTGGGGCTCGGTTTTGATAGAGGCACGTGAAATGTGTTGATGTGAGCATGTGCGAGCGCACCTCATTGTCAGCGCAGACCCCAGGCTCAGCTTTCTCTCCACAAGTGGGCACCGTCTTTGAACTGCCCCAAAGAACAGTCTGGTCTGAACTATCATAGAATCACAGGACTGGAAGGGACCTCAAGAGGTCATCTAGTCCAGTTCCCAGCACTCAAGGCAGGACTAAGTATTATCTAGACCATCCCTGACAGGTGTTTGTCTAACCTACTCTTAAAAATCCCCAATGATGGAGATTCCACAGCCTCCCTAGTCCATTTATTCTGGTGCTTAACCACTCTGACAGTTAGGAAGTTCTAAACCGCCCTTGCTGCAATTTAAGCCCATTGCTTCTTGTCCTGTCCTCAGAAGTTAAAGAGAACAATTTTTCTCCCTCCTCCTTGTAACAACCTTTTCTGTACTTGACAACTGTTATGTTCACTCTGTCTTCTTTTCTCCAGACTAAACAAACCCAATTTTTTCAATCTTCCCTCATAGGTCTTGTTTTCTAGACCTTTAATCATTTTTGTTGCTTTTCTCTGGACTTTCTCCAATTTGTCTATATCTTTCCTGAAATGTGGCTCCCAGAACTGGACACAATACTCTGGCTGAGGTCTAATCAGTGCGGAGTAGAGCCGAAGAATTACTACTTGTGTCTTGCTTATAACACTCCTGCTAATACATCCCAGAATGATGTTTGCTTTTTTTTGCAACCGTGTTAACACTGTTGACTCATATTTAGCTTGTGATCCACTATGACCCCCAGATCCCTTTCCGCAGTACTCCTTCCTAGGCAATCATTTCCCATTTTGTATACGTGCAAACTGATTGTTCCTTCCAAAGTGGAGTACTTTGCATTTGTCCATATTGAATTTCATCCTATTTACTTCAGATCATTTCTCCAGTTTGTCCAGACCATTTTGAATTTTAATCCTATCCTCCAAAGCACTTGCAACCCCTCCCAGCTTGGTATCGTCCGCAAACTTTATAAGTATACTCTCTATGCCATTATCTAAATCATTGATGAAGATATTGAATAGAACTGGATGCAGAACTGATCCCCATGGGACCCCACTTGTTATGCCCTTTAAGCTTGACTGTGAACTACTGATAACTACTCTTTGGGAACAGTTTTTTCCAACAAGTTTTGCGCCCACCCAATAGTAACTCCATCTAAGTTGTATTTCCCCGGTTTGTTTATGAGAAGATCATGTGAGACAGTATCAAAAGCCTTACTAAAGTCAAGCTATACCACACCTACTGCTTCCCTCCCATCCACAAGGCTTGTTATGCTGTCAAAGAAAGCTAGGTTGGTTTGACACGATTTGTTCTTAGCAAATCCATGCTGATTGTTACTTATGACCTTCTTACTCAGTTATTACCTGGCCAGGCTCAATGGGTTCCTCATTACACCTGAAGGTGTGGCTTGCTGTCTCTCTCTAGAGTGTGTGTGTGTGTGTGTGTGCTCGCTCCCGTGTTACTGAGTGAAAATGCCTCGTCCCTTTTACCGTACAGGTCCTATTGCGGGTCAAGGAATCAGAAATCCAGTACCTGAAGCAGGAGATCAGCTCCCTCAAGGATGAGTTGCAAACGGCACTGAGGGTAATGTCTGGGGCAGGGCATCTCTGAACGTGCACAGAGGGAGCCCTCTGTCCTGTATGGGTTTGCTCATTTTCAGGGGGGCTAACTAACTTATTTTAAGAGTTGAATCAGCATTTAAACATTGATCTGCCTTAATTAACACAGCCACTTACTGTTTGTGCATTATCGTCTTTGTGCTGCAAATGAAGCATCTGGTAGCATCAAACCAGGATTCGCTTTGGTCTCTTCCTGGAAAGACGTTACCTTAAATGTTTTTGTCCTGATTTTCTGTGACCTCAGATTTTAAAGGCCCGGTGTTACAAACACACAAACCCTGCGAATTAGCCGATCACCATTGCTTTAGGTGGTTAATTTGCCAAGGCAAGTTCTCAGCGTTTTAATTCCATGCCATTTCCCTGATGTAACAGAAAGCCACAAACAATAAATTCTGTAAATGAGCTGGTGTACATGTGCAGCACTTCTCTCTACTGGATGGAATCTGAACTGCCCAGCTGTGTCTTCTAGATCCTAAAAAGCTGTTAGCCAAAGGAAATTCTCCTTTAGCACAGGTGGATTGGCAGTAAGTGTGCGTTTACCAGGATGATCTGAGTTCTCCCCTGCTGTCCCCAAGAAGCTCTCTGTGGGAGTGCTGAGAGTTCCTGGGTCTGTCCCAGAATACCGTTTCCTGTGTTGCTGGGGTTTGCCACATCACCCTCAATTAAGCACACACAAACTTTCTGGTTCCGTATGTCTGTCTCACTCTGTGACAACCCTGCGGGTTTTCCTTGTTCCTTTCCCAGGATAAGAAATATGCCAGTGACAAGTACAAAGACATTTATACGGAGTTGAGCATCGTGAAGGCCAAGGCAGATTGCGACATCAGCAGGTTGAAAGAGCAGCTGAAGGCAGCCACAGAAGCACTGGGCGAGAAATCCCCCGAGAATACCACTGTGTCGGGATATGGTCAGTCCCTCTGCCGTGCTGAGCAGCCTCGTTCCCTGCCCCAACACATGGAGCAGGTGGTAACAGCTCTAGTGTGATGGAGCCTAGAGGAGCGAGGGCAGGTCGTGGTAGGGTCTTGCAGGAGCTCCAATATATCCACTGTGAATACTGGGGGATTCAAACAAACAGGGCTGTATTCCTCCCTCCTGTCGCACCACTTCATTTATTGGAGTAACACCAGGGAGGAAGATGGCCCAGGTTGTGCGCAAGGTGAAACTGGAGCATGGGCTGCCTGGCTCAGATTGTTCATAAGGTTGGGAGCTGTTCACCTCCAGGTGGTCTGGTGAAATGTGGCCCAGGTTGGTAGTGATTAGAAGATACCTTCTACAAGAGCTGTTGGGTGGCCTGTCAGAGTTGGCATGCAGGGCAGGATCTCAGTCTAGTTCCTTAACAGGCAGGTGTCCTCATTGCAATCTCTTTCCCATTCCAGACTCTCCCTGTTCCCCATCTCCTTGCAGAGGCCAAGGATTGAATGTGCCTGGAGCCTGAACTCCCCTCTCACCCTTAGTGGTGTTTCCCCCTTCCAGCTTAGGGATGGGAAGCTTCCACTGGGTCTTTAGAAATCACCTGTGCCCCAGTCACCCAGAGATGTCACTTGCATCCTGGGGCCTCTTGCCTCACGCAGTAACTGGGTGAGAGGCCATGTTTCGCTTGTGCTGTCCCTGTGGCTCTGTAGGGCCCTGCCTGCCCTCTTCTGAGTCACCTTCAGGGAAGCTTTGCCCAGACTGAGCCTGCACCGCTCCCTGGCAGCATTGCCCCACTGCTGACCGACATGTCCCCAGCCTCTGCTCTCCCTTGTGAGAGGGTCAGGACTCTGTAACCATAGGGCTGTAAGCAGCAGGCTCACGCTGCTCCCTTTGCTCTCCCCAGATATCATGAAATCAAAAAGCAACCCCGACTTCTTGAAGAAAGACAGATCCAGTGTTAGCAGGCAACTAAGGAATATCAGGTCAAAGGTGAGTGTGTTTCTCTCTGCCCAGGTGATGCAAATGCCCCACATAGCTCTCTAGTGGGGGTTTCTGGGAAGACTGCCCAAGGAACAGAGGAAACTGAGGCTGATTGGCAGGGAGATGAGGCAGGAGGATTTTCCCATCCTTACTGCTGGTCTTTGTGTTTGCACCAGGCCATTGGAAGACCAGTTACATGGGTATAGTGGCAAGTCAGCCTCAACCCCCTCCCACTCACAACACGATTGCAGGAGAGTGGTCATGATGGGGTTAATTGAGTTACCCGGAGTATTATGGGATGGCATCATGCTCTCCTCTGCCCCCTTACTTCCTATTCAGTCAGTGGGTGTTTCCCTCCCCCCCCCCCCCCCCCCCCCCACAATAAAGCAGCAAGTTCCCAGCCTGCACTGCTCTGTAGAGACTTGTTTTTGTTGCAGTGAGTGGTCTCTTTGCAGAGCTGGTCCCCTGGCCTCTTCCAGAGGCCCTGTGCTGCTGCAGTCTAGGTGTGACACTGACATGCATAGCTACTGGAGCTGCTGTCTGAAAAGAGAGAGGGAGTTTGCCCTGATTCTCAGGCATTTCCCAGGAGGATCCCCTCTGGCACTTACTCCCCATTTTTGTGGTGAGGTTTGGCAGTGCAGTAACTGGTGTAAGCGTGCTTAGATACCACTGTGATGGGTACCTTGACGATAATACAGTGTAATTCACTGCAGCCTCTTTAGTCTGTATGGGGAACGGGGCTAGTTCTCACCTAACATTTTCTTTTACCTGGGGAGATTGGGGCTGATGGACCAGTGGTTCTCAGTGCTTTAAAGCCTGGCCATGCTGTACTTGTTGCACATCCCAAATCCAGTTATTGCGGTCACATGTCCCCAGTGTTGGCCTGCCAGCTGTCGGGATTCCACCCTTCAGGGCATTAATCCTCTCCATGGGGCCACAGGCACGCTGCTTGAATGAGAAGGGCAAAAGAGAACTTCTCCAATCAGCCTAGGCTGAGTGTACTGGGCAATCACACAGAAGAGCTCTCTCAGCATAGACCTCTCTCTCACTACTGATATTGAGCACCTCGTGCGGATATTGGGCTGCTGTAGACAGAGTGAGAAGCCAGGCCAAGCATTTTAAAGCTCCATCCTCTCCTAACAGGGGGAGCCAAGGCTCACTGCCCAAGCATTCCAAGGCTGCCATTTCAACCGGTGGTGGTGACTAAGCTGCTAGAATGAAATGTACAGGTGCCCCCGCTGTGGACACTATACAGGCTTGCACATGCAAAAACCCTGTGCTTGTGCACGCTAGGCCCAGTGTGTGTGCACGGATCCCCCTCTCATATGTGCAGGGAGTGCCTTTGCATACCGAAAGGTGCAGCTGAGGTGACTCGTTTGCAAACCAGCTCTTGAGGGTCTGATGATCAGTTTCCCTTCCCCACTTCACCTCAGTTTGCGTATTTTGTCATCCCCTCTGTGTCTGTGTCCATGTTTATTTGGTGTGCTTGGGGGAGGGAGGAAGAGGGCAGTATGGAAGGTGCAGATGAGCACACTGTCTGCTTGTCCCGCTAAGGAGGGGACGGAGGGGCTGGGGCTGTGGAACCATCAATGCAATTAGGATTTATGTGCTTCTTGTTTTCTGTTTGTTTTTTTTCTTTATTTTGCTTTTTCCTCTGACAGTCCGTTATTGAGCAGGTCTCATGGGATAACTGAAATGAACCAGAGTCCAGGTTCCCTGTCACGTAGGTAACCACACCAGCACCCACCAAACAATGCAGCTCCCCGAGGGGGCGGCGGCCCACTTTGCATGTCCTGCTCACTCCTCCATGGCAAACGAGAACCTTCTCTTAATTATTGATTTGAAATTGCTCTTCGGGGTGGGGGAGCAGATTATCCTAAAACAAAATCAACCAGTGTCACTCTTCCCTGGGGAATTTGGCTTTCTCTCCCACCCACTCTCCCCCACCCTCCCTGGCACGGAGATCCGTCACTGGGAGGGTGTGCGCACCTCTTGGGCACACTGTGTCGGGGGTGTGGGACACTGAGTGTGCATGCTTAATGACTGTGCATGCCTCACACTAAACTCACTTCGACATGCAGCCCTTGCAGGAAGAAGGGAACCTGGGTTTCAGTCGTGTCAGGCTGGGGCTGGGCGAAGTCTGGGAACTCTCCCTTAGCACTGAAGAGCAGCTAAAAGTGACGGAAAGGAGGAGGCCAGTGGATCTACCCTGGCCTGTGTTTACGTTACCCATCACTGCCACTTCCTTAAACGAACCGTACGTGAGCACAGGAGTTTCCTAAGGCGGAGCATCCTCTTCCTCCCGCTGCCCAGTGGTTGTGATACTAGAGTTCATCACCTCATTAACAACTGTCCTATCACAGACACTGCCTTGTGGCTTCCAAAATCGTCTGGTAGTAGGAGGCAGCTGATGACAGAGGGGGCTGTTCCAATTATCTTGGGTAACCAGCAGCAACAGGAAAGTGGGATAGTCCCTGGGAGGAAATGGGATTGGTTTCCAGTGGGGTTAATGGGAGAGGGTTTGAAAAGGCTGATCAAGGAATTCTGGGGGCTGGTGGAAATTTTTAAATGAGAGTGTCTTTATTACAAACTGAACTCTGCACTAAGGTATCAGGATAAGTGATCTCAGAGACTCCCTTACTGAGTGAGGGGTTTGCTCAGCTTTCTACTCTTGGCAGTACAGTCTAATGCAGTATGGTGTCTTGATCTATAAAGAGAAGAGAGAATTCAAAGGTCCAAGTTGGAATTTAAAGGGACTCTGTTAATTTGAATAGGCTCAATATTTGACCTACTTTCTGATAGTCAGTAGGTAGAGACCGTCCTGAATTTTGAGTTTCTTTTCTGTCAGCTAAAAAGAGAGCAAAAACACTATTTAAACTGGTGTAAAAATCCCAGTTCCTGCTTTCCATTGATAATGGATTTACGTTTCTCTCAGTCTGAACAGTGAAACCAGTAGAAATGCAATGGTCACTGTAGTGTCTTCACAATATCACAGCCATCCTATCCACACTGGGTTTTGCAACCTCAACCTCCCACAATAGCCACTTGTTAACCAAAACTTGGCTTTGGGGCCTACATGACTTAACATTGTCCTTTTAGTCTTCTGATACGACAACCAAGGGACTTAAAAGAAAATGGGAACATTGCAGCCAGCTACCTGACAGGATCTGTGTATAAAGCTCCGTGTCTTGCAGAGCTGCCGTGTGTTGTTTTGTAGAGCAAGTATCAGACGCTGATGTTATTGTGCAGAGGATGTAAAGTGAACTGCCTCACAGATGACTCTGCTGCCTGCAAATTGCCAAACACGATGGCCGATTGGCTGCCTGTTTTTGATCAGCTGGGCACATCCTGTCTCAGAGCAGGGAAAGCAATCGTCACCCCCCTGAGATGGCAGCAGGTTTTATGGTCTGCACCTATGCAGTGCACAGACATTGCATGCTTGATCCTGGGAAAGCAGTCTGCTGAGGTGGAGTATCCATTAGCCCCCCTCAGCCCCATGGCATCAGCCTTGAGATGGGACGTAGTGCACCTATGGCCTTGACCTAGTGTCTGTGGTCAGGTCTGCTCCGTACCAAATGCAGTAAGCATGGGGATTCCACCATACGATTGCGGGGTGGGGATTAGCAGTAAATCATGCAGCCACCTGTGTCCTTCTCCCTCAGATTCCATGTGGGCTGGAGGGGCCTGACTCCCAAATGACAGTGTTGAGGGCTAGATAGATGGAAGTTGCTTTCACTTCTGAGTCTTTCACTTCTGAAGACATGGGTTTAAAATCTGGATTGGGTCATGAGTTTGGTCCCCTGCTAGAAACTATAGGAAACATGTAATGAGATCCACAGTCCAGCTCAGGGGCTTACTTGGCAGTGTGTGCTTGAAAAAGGTCCCCAGCCTAGGTTAACTGAGGGTAGAGTGAGATTGTCACTCAGAGTTGTGCGGACAAATGTTTGGACCCACAACCACCCAAAATGGACTCTTAATGAGCCCTGAAGGAGAACCAGTGTGCTGGTCCCTCTGAGCGCTGTAGCAATTGCTGTCAGCAGAACCAAGGTGTGCTGCTTTGGCTCTTCTGAAAGCCAAGGGCCTGTTCCTAAAGCTGCCCTGGTGCTCTGTATACTGCAAGCTGCAGGGATCGTTGTCACAGTCAAGCTAATCACGCTTGCAATCTCGCGTGCCTCTCATTTGTTTCTGAAGTTAGTCACCTAGTTAATTTCCAATCGCGCGCTCTAGGTGTGATTCACCAATAATAACATTCCATAATAGTCTGTTCTCTCGAGCATGTTCCACTAATCTCTCCTTCAGGGGGGCGTTTGCTCTCCTACCCACATTTCCTTTGCCTGAGCATCTGCCCCATCCTCCCGTTGGCTGCTGTCGCCGCCTCCTCCTTCAGTGTTTGACGCTGTCCCTCTCTTGTCTCTCCCAGAGTCTGAAGGAAGGCCTGACCGTGCAAGAACGCTTGAAGCTCTTTGAATCCAGGGACTTGAAGAAAGACTAGTTCTCCCCCTTCAGCTTGAACATGCGCACCTCCCAGCTTGCGATCGCACGGCACGAGCACCGCGTGTTCCTAGTTCCTTATGATCTTCTGTGCTGTTGTTCGTCTCGATGCTCCCAATCAGACTGAGTGCGGTTGGCGGTTCTTCCTGCCCCTGGCACCTTGACTCCACAGCTCCTTTCCCTGCACCGCAAGATGCTTCAGAGACTCTGCTAGGGAGAGGAGGGGATGGAGTTCTGCCCCCTTTGGCTCCTTCCTTCAGTGTAAACCATTACACTAAGTGTCAGTATTAAGGCTCAGCAGCCTATCGATAAGCTAGCTCTGTCATACCGACTGCTTTGGTTTAGAAATGGCCTGGCTGGCAAAGGCCAGACCCAGCTCTACTGCTGTTTGAGTGACCCAGTGCTCAGTCACAAGCTGTGAGTCAGTCCTCTGAGCTTGCGTTCCTTGCACCTCTGGGAAAAAGCCTGTGGTCAAAACGTCAGGAAAGGCAGGTCAGTCTGTGTCGGAAGCAGCCCAGTCCGTCAGGTGTGTGCGTGGGTCACAGCACCAACAGCCCGCTAGCTGCTGGAGAAAAACGAGGGGAGTCTGCTGGGAGAGTGGCTAGGGTCTGGGCTCCGTTCTCCCAACCCAGAGCCCCAGCAGGCCTCGGCCTTGGCTTGTTTTCAGTCTGTTACAGCCAGAGTGTTACAGATGTTTGTTAAACACAGATTTCAACAAAATCTTTCCCTAAGGCCCATCTGCCCCCTCTCCTTTCTTCCTATCATGCCTGTGCCCTGAGTAATGTATTCCAGGGCCCGAGCTGCAGGGCCTGTCTACGCAAATCCAGCCCAGCTACAGCCAGTCCCCTCCAGCCACTCTCTCCCTCTTTGCATCAACAACTGTGTGCGTGAGAGCTTCCCTTTCCCAGTCTGAGAAGGGATACTGAGCGGAAGACAGAGCCTGCGCTGGCTGTGAACATACACACACAGCTCAGTCCAAAGACTGCTCCCTTTTCATCCGCTCCTTTCACCAGCCCACAGCTCCAATTTTCATACTTTTATCTATGGCTACATTTTGCTTTTCTCCGAAATAAGAGTCTCAAAGCTCGCCTGTTCTGCAGACCATCCGTATTGCAGCTTCCCAGGACATCTTCCTGCCGGCTCCCAGCTCGGGGATGAGGATCACTCTTAAAAGTCTGTTTAGCAACACTGCACAGCGTGAGGCCAATGGAGTGAAGTAAAAGTGAGTGAGGGAACCCAGCCGTGGAGGTGCAGCATTAAACCAGTGTCGCTTAGCAAAGGGGAGGGGAAAGAATCTCTCATCCTGTTAGCCCTCATGCAGCTCTGCAGTGGCCATGGTGGCTTATTCGCCATGCTGGCAACAGCATCCACATGCTTTCTCCCCTGTACGCCTCCTTGGTTCTGTGCCCTGCGCTGCCAATTGACAAGACAACTCCTGCCTCAACTCTGGGACTAGGGCCTGTTCCAACACAAACGGTTTCTAACCGAGCTTGGCTGTCTAGTGTGGATAGGCCTAAATCACATTGGACTGTGCCCTTGACTCTCTAGGGAGCTAGGCTACTGCCTCTCTCAAATTGTGTCTAAACATGGCTCCTCGCTAGCTGTGCTTGTGTGGCCAGCTTGGTTAAGGGGAAGTGCCCCTCATGAGCCCTGCCCAGCGCTCTGACGCCCTCTGCCCCAGGAATGCTCAGTGTAGTCTGGAAGGCTTTGTTTACAAAGGGCCATTTGGAGCCCCCTCGTGCAGAGTGGCGGCCATGCCTGATCCTGGTAGTATGCAAGACCAATGTGGGAGTTTCTAGCCTGCTTTGACAGTGGTTAGACAATCCAAAGAACACACCTGACTTTACTAGGTGACTGGAACCATTGGCTAAAGCTGGTTTGAAACTAATTTCTGGTCTCTCCCATCGGCCACCCATATTGCCACGTTCCCCAAGGATCTCCCGCCTTGCCAAGATGGCTGTCGCCAGCTTGGGACTTGGGTGATTCTCAGCAGGCCTCTTAGCTCTGCCTTCCTGGTGAGAGGAGCTGCTTGTGTATCCCACAGATACCCAAAAAACACATTGAGTTCTCAGCTTAGTTGGTGGCTGGGGGCTGTTTAAATAAGTCCCATCACCACCCCAACCCTGCCCTCAGATTCCACCCTGAGCTGCATTGCTGAAACCCCTCACACTAGTGACTCTATTGGTGAAGCTAAGTAATGGGTCCCCCCCAAACGCCAGCGGCCATGGCATGGGCCTGCCTTCCAGCCAAGGACACCTAGATGTGACTCCCACCCTCAGTGTTCTTTAATCAGCCGGAGGGGACACTGTATAGGCAGAGGAGGCATTCCCTCTCTGCCCCCAAATTCTCATCCACTCTGCAGAGCTTGAGCATGTTGCTGCTGTTAGATTCTGCTCATTCTGTTCTTGGAAGATGTCAAAGCTCTCTGCCTGATTCAGCTTCCGCTTATCCCTGTAGCTCCATTGGCTTCAATGCGGTTCCTCATTCTCACCACCATGAGATCAAAACCAGGCCCAGGATGAACCCTTGGGGGCCAAACTCTGATGGAGCTGGAGGAGGGGTTCCCATGGGAAAGTGAGACTTCAGTGGGAGCTACAAGCAGCCAAGGGCAATGTGGTCTTTGGGTTGAACTCTGGAGCCCCACAAGCTGTGAGGGGACCTGTCTCACAGGCCAGTGGGGATGTTTGTGCTGTGACACGGGTTGGATCTGGCTCTAGATACTGCCGGGGAGGGTTTGCTTGCCTGCTGTGTTCCCTATACTGTATATGTCCCTCCACATGCAGCAGAGGTCTTCAGACGTCACCTAAGAGACCCAGCTTTCTCCGTCTCTGACCTTTCCTGGTCTTCTCACATCAGCAATCACCAGAAGAGAACATCCCTTTGTTCTTATGCTCCGTCCCTGCCTGGTCAGGGTGGAGGGTGTCTGCCCTCTGCTAGCTTCCCAACCCTGAATTCTCCCTTCAGATTGTGGAGCCTATGGGACACAGGTACGGGTAGCATGAAGTCCTTCAGCGTTGGGATTTCTCCTCCCTCACCTCACAAGAGTCCACTGGAATGTGACATTTCCAGTGAAGACACACCCCAGCCTGTGCTTCCTTGGAGTCCGGTGAGGGCTTCTTACTGCTAAACCATCTGAGCAAAGTGTGTTCTGTTCTCCTGTTGGAAAAGCCACTTATCTCCCTCTTCCTCCGGCCATCTGGGCTCTGAGCTTCTTGCTACCCAACAAGCTAATTGCTGCTGCTTTGTGCACTTCCTTTGGTTATGATCAGTTACTTTCAGGGTGAGAAATGAAGATCACCCACCTTTTCTCCATTTAGAGTTGTATGCCAGTGGGATGGAGGCTACAGGATGGTGCTGTAGATAACCATGGCCTGATGCCCTTTGTGGTACTGCTTCATTGCACTGAGCCTCAAAGGGATCCTGGTAATGATGCTCCCAGGGGGTTGAAGCCATCTTTTTTCTGCTGTGCACTTCCCCACTCCAGCCACTCTTTTTTTGAGGCTCAGTGTCTCTTTGCTTGGACCAGGAACTCTGTGAGTTACTGGGATCTTATTTTTCTTTTTTTACCTCTGTGTCTGTCCAGATCCTGATTTCATAATGGTAGAGAAGGATCATTAGAGGAGGAAGTGTCTGGTGTAACCACACAGATGTAGATACCACTGGATGATGCTATGAGGAGCTGGCTTGGAGGAAGGGTTGCAGCATGCTGATGGACAGCTTGGCAATGGTTTTGGCCATTCATATGGCAGAGGTGAAGAGGGAAAACTGGTTGAAGTGAGGACTGTCTTTTTCATCTTTTGACCCAGACGGTGTATGTGGGTGAGGACATGAGAAAAGGCACTGTGGTATGTTTTCAAAGTGGAAGCACTTAGGTAGTAGCTAGTGTAAAAGGAGAGCAGGGAGAGAGGCATGTAAAGCAGTGGAATAGCAAGCCACATAAAAAGAGGTGGTATTAAAGAAATGGCAGATCCAGTGGGTTGGTCTGAACGGCTTTCTGCCTGTGCTCCAGTCCCATAATTATCCTGTAAAGATGCAACTTGGGGAGCAGGAGGGCTTGTTCAGGTTTGTCCTTGTGATATACAGGGTCCCAAGGACTGAGGCAGAGAAGAAAACTGCTTAGAGGAAGAGAATCTTTTATTTGATGGGTTTCTTAGCCCATTTTCCTTTCTCATGTGCACATACCCCAAGCAAAAGGCTGTAATTAGGGAAGCTTTGAGTAGCCTATGTAAATTTCTTCTCTTGAGGAGATGTGCATAGTTCTGCAAAAGTCCTGGGACCTCAATATGATGGATGAGACATTGGCAGTAACAGACTTTAAGCAAGATGTTTGTTCAAGCTAGCTGGTATTTTTTTCTTTAAGGCTGGTATATCTTTAGTTCCTACCTTACTGCAAACTCATCATCCTGTGACCTCCATCTTACTTGGTCAGTGGATCAGCTTAAAAGAATTTGCTTCAAGATGTGCCAGGACTAATGGATCAGCAGAATCTGAACTTGTGGGAGCGGATCTGTCAGTGCAGGTTTGCAAGCACTGGGGATCTTTGGATAATGCATCTTGGCCCACATTTCTGGACCTACATACTGCCCCTAAAAGCTAACTGGACACGCAGTTTCACTGGGATGAAATGGAGCTGCAGATACCGGCTGTAGCCAAAACAAAAATCTAGTGTTACAAGAAATGAGCTCCTCTGGAGAGGACATACACACCGTGCATGAAGGGGTGATTGGGACCACCCTTTGGTGTATATTTTTAAAGCTTCTAAGAACCTCTAACAGGCCAAATAAGTGTTGTTTTGCTGAACTTGCTGTTCTAAAATATTATTTAACACCTAAACAAAGGGTCTCGTACAACTATTTGTTATATACTGTCCCTTGTAAGAGCAGGTGCGTTCTGAAGCAGACACCTCTCCAAAGCGGGACTTAGGCTTTGTTTTTAATGTTTTTCTGTTGTGCACAGGGTATGCGCTCTAAAGTCAGTTGTTCCAGAAGGCGGAAGAGCAGCTGGCTCTCTGCCCATCTGTGCAGCTTCTCCATCCCATCAGACTGCAGCGCTCCCAAATGGAATCAACATTGCAATAACTGATCCTTCCAGAGGTCAAGAACAAAAAAGCTGTGGCACAAACACGCACTTGTTTTCTCTGATGTGCTGGCAGATGCCTCATTGCTGTTTCTCCCTGTAGTTTTGATGGGCACCTACCTGAGCTGGGAGGAGCCTCATCAAAGTATTAGGCAGTGTGTTCACCTCCACTCCACCCCAGTAAACACCGCGATCTACCACAGGTTTAAAAAAAAAAAAAAATGGCAAAAGTCTTAGCTGAGTGCAAGGTTCTGTGTTTCACCCCAGTTCTGCCTTCTGCTTCAGGCTTCATCTTTCTCCATGAGGCTAGAAATCAGTGTTTCTCAAATTGAACTGACGAGGAGGGTGGGGGGCATAGCAAGAGAACCCCTCCCCCCCGCCAGCCCCTTTGCCCAACACACTTTCTGATTCCATCTGCATCTTCCATTGTGTATGTGAGAGACAGCAGAGCATTTTCCAATTCACTTTTCCTCTGCCTGTGTTCCAGGCACCCTCCACATACAACAAGGCAAATTGGCATGGTAGCTGTCTCGCTTGCAGTGCTCCTAAAGGGCACAGTATATACAGTGTGTGAATATATATACGTTGCAAGCAGCTGCATTTTATATGGTCCTACATGATGAAAAGTACCAGAATGTGAGGTCTAATAAAACCAAGTTCAAAATAGCCGTAGAAACATATACATCTAATTGCTTCCAAAGTTTTGTCTTTTGTGGAGAATTTTTCAGCCATTTTTTTCCTTCTGGAAACAATTAGATTTAAGTTCTTTTTAACTGTGATTGATCTCCCCCCATTCCTCCCCCCATCCATCCATCTAAGAGAGGGAGCAATTTTTTTTTCCATTTGCTTCAAAAGCAGAATTTGTGCTTATGTGCAAAACACAACAAGGCTATTTTTCTGTAACCGGTTGAATGGAGTGCATTTAAGCAGTCCTAAGCATTGTAAAATGTGTCACTTTTGTAATGACTATATATTTGATTGGAATTCCACTAGACCTTTGCATTTTTGTGCTTCATATACAGTACTTAGTTTGTTGTGAACACTAAAGCACATGCACGCTCAGTGTAGCTTGCCTTTACTTTGTAATTTTTTCCATTTTTTTAAAAAAAAAAAAGCTTTGTTATTCTCTTTAAAATAATTTAAAACCTGTATAGTATTCAAAGCACGCAATGTAAATATTTATTACTCAGAAGTTAGCGGAGGGTTTTTGTGTGTGTGTGTGTGTGACTAAGTTCTGTTTTTTTGGTTTTCTTTTTTAGGTTTTCTTTTTTAATCTTGTTCTAATACAGATGTCTCTTTTGGGGTTGGAAGAGATTTGCGTGTAAGATGTTGAACCTACCCTGTGTCCTCTTATTAGAATGTTTTTTGATGACTGTTATAAATATCTTTTAAAATTCTCTGACCTGTACCTTTAGCTTTGAAGATACCTGTCCAAAGAATGTGTCCAGTCTGTTTGAGAACTGTTAATCCTAAAGCGCTATAAATTGTTTTTCCATTGAGAATTCAGTAATCTTGTATTTGATAGTGGCATTAACACCCTGTGAATGTGCAAAATTGCTATCTATATATAGAAGTAGTAACTACTGTGTGACTAGAGCATACACAGATATCCTTGCATGGTAACTTAGGACTGTTGCAGTGAGTGAACTAAGGTTCCAGGATCTTAGGGCCTAGTATATAATTGTGTAACTCACTTATGCATCAGCATTGAAGCTACTCTGTAAGGCTACATGGAATTTACAAGGGAACTGTCTCCTAGCTGTGCAGTTACATAGTGTACAACAGCATGGAAGTTTACTGTAACTTACAATGATATGTAAGTAACTGTTTAAAATATAACTTTCAATACATCGTAGTTACTACTGAGTTGCACTTATGATGTGATCCCTACCACTGTAATACAGAGCATTTCTTAAAAGTGGCTGCAGAAATATTGTTGCGTGACTGGGGAAGGACACTGAAGAGCCATGGGGGCTGAAAACAAAGCTGTCAGCTCTAGTGGTTTAACTTGCCTCAGCCTGCACTTTAAGAGACTACTAGAGGAGAACGAGGGGGCAGGAGGCATTAGCAGAAACCTGACTTGCCTTTGAATTGGTACCAACAGCACTAGCCCTCCTGGCCACTGACATTAGTTTAGTGCAATCACAAGCAATTATTTCATCACCCTTCCTGTCTACCCTACACCATGAATGTGTGCTGGATGGTGAAGGATCACTGACTCTTTGTTCTAATTTAGAGAGAACAAAGTGTGTTGTAAAATACTAAAGACTTTGACATGTAGCAAACAGATGAGGATTCTTAGTCTTTGATCCACATACACCCTTTTGGGACCTGGAATTTTGGGTTGACTTGAGATTTTAAACTTTGGGGGTAGGGGGCAAGAGGGAAACTGTATGTATTTGAATGATAACTCTGTGAAGTGACAATAGACACCCAAGTATTGATGGTCAATCTTCCTCACTTCACACCACCAACCCAGTCAGAATTGAGGGACTGCCTTAGCTCCATCCTGTCTTATGCATGCCTTCAATCAGTGGCCTCAGTCAAGAGAGATGGGTTCCTGATTGAAATGCACGCACCCTCCACTACCAGCTGAGTTTCAAGAGCTTCAGTCCCTGGTGGAGATGGAAATAGAAATCAAGATTTAATTGTGGTTTATGGTGAACACCCAAGAGTCAACCACAATGTCTCCAGTTCCTGTGATGATGAAGACAGAGAGAGCCACCTGTCCAACCTGCCTGCATGGTGTTAATGGCAGCAGATCAAACCTAGAAGATTGTGTAACTTACTTCCTGGGTTGCTACTGTGGTGGTGAGACTTGTGCACCAGCCTCAGAACTAGCATGAAACAGGGGTGGTGACCAGGGAGAAGTGGCAGCTGTGTTCCAAACCCATTGGGCTGCAGGTCTGAATGGTGTGCATAAGGGGAGGGTTCCACACACCTCACCCAGCAATGGAGTGACGTGTCCTGATCCATTTCCTCTTGCAAAGGTGAATGCACATGCATTTTGTGGCCCCCTGTGATACTGAGTCTGAGTGGAGTCTTTTTTCTCTCTTCTTCCCCCCACCCCCTTTGCTTTTATTTCAGTGCTTTTATTTAAAAAAAAAAAAGAAAAAAAAAAGCCACTGTTCACTGTAATAGAAGCATCACTTTGGTCACAATATTTATTCCTTACAAATCCTGTGTGACATGCTAGGTTCCCATGGATGTAGCTGATCATTTTTATTTTGTAAATATAATTACTTAACTTTACATAAACTATATCGTAATAAACTATTTTTGCACCACCCTTTGCATGCTGTGTAGTGAGGTGCTTGTTTGGACATGGTCATCTATGTGGAAAGGAGATGCAGGCTTTCGAGGCAGCCACTTAATACAGTCCTACCACCGTCCGCATTTTCTTTGATACACATTGCTGTTCAAAGCATTGTGAAGCTAATACTCCTGACTGTTGCAGTGGAAGACTGCCCACAGCTGGTATAGCATGGATATTTGCAGTGGCAGATTCCTTCCAGACCTTTGCCAGTGTACCTAGCCTGATCTAGAGGGACCGTACTAAGGGTAAGTGGGTAGACTAATCTCTGATTGCTTTTACTGGTTGGGGCCTCTGGCCTAAGGCTTTCCATAAGTGGCAAATGGGGGTTTTGAGAGCTAGAGCCTATGGGGCCCATCAAACTCTTTTCACACTGTTCACCTGTAGTGATAACTACCATACAAAAAATTCCTTGAACCATTATGCAGCAGGAAGAGCTTGGAGAAATTGTCTGGATTTGCTGAAATGTGGTGGTGTTAATAGTGCTAATCACTATACAGATTATAACAGGACATTGGCAACACACTAGTGGGACTTTTAGCGGTACAGGCTTCAAGCACTTTATCTATTTTACAAAGATTAAGCCATTTTTAACCAGACATGGGGAAACAGACAACCCATGGGCTTGTAAGAGTCTGCATCAAAACTGACTCACTGTTTGTGCCACAAATTTAACCTACCTTAAAGTATGAGGGCAAGGTTAATTTCCCAGAATATTCAGAATAGCCAATTACATTTGCATAACATGACCCCTCTGCTGACAACATCATAGCTATTAAGTTCTATTCTGAAAGCTATGTTTTCTGTTAATTACTGGTATGGTAATAAGGCTCTTAAGCCCAATGTAAACTGAAGTTGTGGTAAGTGTGGAATAACATATTTAACTGTGAGAAATAAAAATAGCCACAGTAACTTGAAGAGACAAGAAGAGGGCCAATTACCCAGGAAAACAGTTTTTACAACTAATAAGTCACACCACAGCTTGAACTGTATGTGGCAAAGGCTGTTACTGGGCCCGTAAGACTCAATGTGTTACAAACTTTACGCTGCAGTTAGTTTTACAATCAAACCTTCATGACAGCACTGTGGCATAAGGACATGAACCCTCTTACATTCCAGGTCACTGTTTCAAGTGTACAGGCAGATATGTCCAAAACAAATTGGTGTGTTCCATTCTTATTCCATGTCAACACCACAAGAACTCTCATTAAGAGCCAGGGATATAATGGTTATGGAAACTGAACTAACCTCTTAAACTCTGAGAGGAGAATCAGGGACACTAAGCAGGGGAGAGCTTACTCATGCATGGGTATAACAGCTTCTGTTGCCTGTCACATAGCATTTTCAAGGGCAGTAACCTAGTTTCTACTAGATATGAAATGGTGTCATTTTCAGGAAGTCAAGAATCTACCCTGACCTCTGAATTCCATTTAGGAGACTCCCACCATAAATAGAAAAGGGAGGTAGATGATTTTAAAAGACCACTTCCCAAGAGAACATGGACATCATGACACCTAGTATCTGCAAGAAAAGGCAGGGAAGGCTTGCACAGGGGCGAACTTGTCCCAGCTAGAAAGCTGCCAATTCATCCTGAAGATTAAAATGGGAAAGGTGGTGTCCAATATTCTCTATTGCCAAGCCAAGTTGGGCAATCGATATGGATGGCGTTATGCTGCTTTTCTTGTATATGAACAGATCAAGCAGCCTATTCTCTATGTGCACTGGGGTTTCCTTTTGCAGCTCCTTTCCATGAGAGGCAGCAAATCTGCTACAGTCAGTTTCTCAACATTTTGCACTCCAAGTATTTCTCTCATACTGCTGGGCTGTTACAATGGCCAGTCCGTACTTGTTTTTCTGCAGATTGCCATACCTGCTCTCCAGCCCCATCAGGGCACTTTTTCTATTATGCTGCAGCTACTGAGAAAGTGAACTGACTAGAAGGAGGCTAATCAACATTCAAAATAAATTTTAAAATTCCTGACTTCTCAATCAAGTTTTCCATAACAAACCTCATCTTACCTATTTTAAAGGTTAAATGTCTAATATACTTTCCCCTTCTAATAAACTAACATACCCAGTTCAGTCCCTGGGTGAATTATAGCTTTGTGCAGAGCCCCTTACCCAATTCTTTTAGAACTAGTGATGAGGAACATTTTCACTCTTATACTGCCATGCATGAAATAAATGAGTCGTTTCCCAGCATGGTATGATCAGCCATACCAGAAACAGTATATATCATTCTGTAATGTCACTAGGGGAAACCAGTAAGTGACTATTTCACTGTCAAAATATCCAGTACTCTTAAACATTCCAAACATTGCCTTCTTCCAGTGCATGGCAGTGGCCATTATCTTTTGAGCTCCAGCACATCAGCTGCAACGTGCTGGCCCTTCTACTATACCACTACTTACCAAGAAGTTTAGAGTGATGCACTTCATTTAGTACACAGTGAGCTTTTCACTGAAGAGTAGAGAACTCTTCACCCTTGTATGATGCTATAGTCCTTGTAGCTATAACAAAATTAAATACAAAGAAGCTTGCTAGAAAAATGCTATTTGTCAAGGACCCTTCCAGCTCCAAAAAGCTGCTGTCATTTCTGTTCCTTTTTGTTGGGGAAAAATGTATAATTAGCTGGATTGTACTCTTCCCAAATCCTTTCAAACTCTGCCAGGAATGGCTCCACATACTCCGCATCCTCCACAATCAGCACGTTCTCACGGTTGTTCTGGATAGCTTGAGTGGTCCAGTTGAGGGAACCAGTGATGAGCATCTTTTTGTCCACAATAGCAAATTTGTGATGCATGTAGCCACTCTCCTGGTCGTGACGCACCTGAATCCCTGCAAAACAAGGAGAACCTTTTCAATGCTTCCTCTTCAAGGTAAAAAGCTTTCTTATGACCAAAAGCTACACTGCATTAATAACAGGTTTCAGAGTAACAGCCGTGTTAGTCTGTATTCGCAAAAAGAAAAGGAGTACTTGTGGCACCTTAGAGACTAACCAATTTATTTGAGCATAAGCTTTCGTGAGCTACAGCTCACTTCATCGGACGCATCCTGTGGAAAGTACAGAAGATCTTTTTATACACACAAAGCATGAAAAAATGGGTGTTTACCACTACAAAAGGTTTTCTCTCCCCCCACCCCACTCTCCTGCTGGTAATAGCTTATCTAAAGTGATCACTCTCCTTACAATGTGTATGATAATCAAGGTGGGCCATTTCCAGCACAAATCCAGGGTTTAACAAGAACGTCGGGGGGGGGGGGGGGTGTAGGAAAAAACAAGGGGAAATAGGTTACCTTGCATAATGACTTAGCCACTCCCAGTCTCTAATCAAGCCTAAGTCATTATGCAAGGTAACCTATTTCCCCTTGTTTTTTCCTACACCCCCCCCCCCCGACGTTCTTGTTAAACCCTGGATTTGTGCTGGAAATGGCCCACCTTGATTATCATACACATTGTAAGGAGAGTGATCACTTTAGATAAGCTATTACCAGCAGGAGAGTGGGGTGGGGGGAGAGAAAACCTTTTGTAGTGGTAAACACCCATTTTTTCATGCTTTGTGTGTATAAAAAGATCTTCTACACTTTCCACAGTCTGCGTCCGATGAAGTTAGCTGTAGCTCACGAAAGCTTATGCTCAAATAAATTGGTTAGTCTCTAAGGTGCCACAAGTCCTCCTTTTCTTCTTACTGCATTCATTTGAGAACCTAATGCCCTTAACCAAAAAAACAGCACCAACAACCATCAGCGTGAGTGTTTGCTGCCATTCCTCACCACACCAACACCAGGAGAGGGAAACCCTGAGCCTTGTGGTCATCTTGCCACATGTCCGTCCCTTGTGTCAATAGGTGTTTGCTTCTCTACCAACAGTCTGCGAGGACACGGAGCTTGGCTAAGCTTGTCCCAGTGTCCTGCCTCTTCTAACAGGCCACAGGGGAGACCAGGTGGGGGGCTCATAGGGGTCCACGTGGCTGCACCTAGCCCCTAGGGATCACCTAGTCCCTCCCATCTTCCTCAGGGCTCAGCCAGGCCCCCACAAGGGCTGCCCTCTGTCAGTCCTTCCCCCGGCACATACACCATCCCCACAGTTCCTCCATGGGGTCCCAGCTCCTTCAGCCCCACCTGCTCCCAGCACCGTCCCTTAGCTCCCCTTCCGCCTCCTCCATCCCTGACCCTCTTCCCCCCCCTGCCCTGACCTCCCTCTTCCCTTCCGCCCCTCACCCGCCTGCCGCAGGCGGCCGACCTGCGAGCCGCTGAGCGCCATGTAGTCGGCGTCGGTGACGAGGCGCACGCGCACGCCCCGGCGGTGCAGCAGCTGCACGGCGCGGCCCAGCTGCGGGCTGGAGAAGGCGAAGAGGCAGAGCTCCAGGGAGCGGCGCGCCGAGAGCAGGCGGCGCAGCAGGCGGGCGAGCGGGCTGTCGCCGTGCGGCAGCGGGCAGGGGCAGGGCGCGGGGCGCGGCTCGCCCAGCAGCGCCGCGGTGCAGGTGACCGGCGACGGGAAGAAGAGCACCTCGCGCCGCGGGGCCCGGCGCCGCCGCCACCCGCGCACCAGCAGCGCCAGCGCCTCCAGCGCCAGCCCGAGCGCCAGGGCCGCGCCGCCCGCCCAGCGCCATGGCAACGCCTCGAGGCCCGGCCACATGGCTCGCGCGCCCGCTCCGGGCCGCGTGCCGGGGTCACGTGAGCGGCGCAGGGGCGGGGTCTCAGTAGCGCGAGGATCCGAGTACGCGAAGTCGGCGGGTCACGTGCCACGGTGGGAGGAAGGGGTTTGCCGCGCATGTGCGAGACCGACCACCCGAACTCATAGCGGCGGATCCCTGATCAGTCACCCCCATCCCCGGGCGCGCGCGCTGCCCAGCCCCCCCCCCCCAACTGCCGCGAGGCGTTCTCTGCCCGCCCGCCTCGCCTCAGCGTTTCGCTACTCCTGCGGGGGGGAGAGTGGGGCTGGCTAGGGGGCAGGGCTGAAGAAAGGGGGGGTGAGCCTGGGAGGGGTCGTGGGGCTGGCTAGGGGACAGGGCTGAAGAAAGGGGGGGGGTGAGCCGGGGGGGCTCGTGGGGCTGGCTAGGGGACAGGGCTGAAGAAAGGGGGGGTGAGCCTGGGGGGGGGTCGTGGGGCTGGCTAGGGCTGAAGAAAGGGAGGGTGAGCCTGGGGGGGGTCGTGGGGCTGGCTAGGGCTGAAGAAAGGGAGGGTGAGCCTGGGGGGGTCGTGGGGCTGGGTAGGGCTGAAGAAAGGGGGGTGAGCCTGGGGGGGGGTCGTGGGGCTGGCTAGGGCTGAAGAAAGGGAGGGTGAGCCTGGGGGGGTCGTGGGGCTGGGTAGGGCTGAAGAAAGGGGGGGTGAGCCTGGGGGGGGTCGTGGGGCTGGCTAGGGGGTAGGGCTGAAGAAAGGGAGGGTGAGCCTGGGGGGGGTCGTGGGGCTGGCTAGGGCTGAAGAAAGGGAGGGTGAGCCTGGGGGGGTCGTGGGGCTGGGTAGGGCTGAAGAAAGGGGGGGTGAGCCTGGGGGGGTCGTGGGGCTGGCTAGGGGGTAGGGCTGAAGAAAGGGAGGGTGAGCCTGGGGGGGGTCATGGGGCTGGGTAGGGCTGAAGAAAGGGGGGGTGAACCTGGGGGGGGGTCATGGGGCTGGCTAGGGGGTAGAGCTGAAGAAAGGGGAGGTGAGCCTGGGGGGGCTCGTGGGGCTGGCTAGGGGGCAGGGCTGGAGAAGAGGGAAGGCTGGCTGTGCAGGGGATGTTTGTCTAGGAGCCCATCTGAGTAGGGAGAGTCCTTGGGGGCCCCTCTGATGGCCTTGTGCCAGTGGTGGGGCCCTGCGAGCTGCTGGGCATGTCTTGAGCTGTGATTGCTGCCCAGCTGGCTGAGCACAGCACACCTGCTGTTGTTACCCCGTCACCCACCCTGACCCACTTGTCCCGTCCACCTGTTACAGCTTGTCTTTTGGGTACCTCTACACTGCAAGTGCGGGTGTGATTGTAGCACAGGCAGCCATGTGTTAGCTTTAATCTAGCTTGCGTAGGTAACAATAGCAGTGAAGGTGTGCCAGGTGTGGTACATACTTGGATTGCTGGCCCACACTGGAGTCCATGCCACTGTGTTTTCATTGCCATTGTTACACCAAACCATGGTACAGTTACACCTTAATTTGCAGTGTAGACATACTTTCTGATGGTAAGCTCTTTGGATCAATGGTTTTCATTTACTAGAGTTGTACAGTGCCCAACACAATGTGCGGGATGGGGGGGGGTCAGTTAGCCTCTAGGTAAATAGCACCACTGCCTTTGATCTCTATGCCTATAACTTATAATCACTTGAAATCTATCTCTGGAGTTAATAAATCTGTTTTATATTTTACCTAAAACAGCGTGTTTTGGGTTGAAGTGCTTAGAGAATCTCAGCTCAGGCTAACAAGGGTTGTTGCATGTCCACTAACCTTTGTTGGAGTGGTGAACTAATCAATGAGCATGCACTGTCCAAGGGCGTCTTGAGCAGTGTATTGCTGGGGTGACACCTCTCTCTCTGTATGCCATGAGTGGCTGAGTGTGGATCTCCACATGCTGATGGCTGAGTGATCACAGCACCTGGAGGGGTTTTCTGCTTGTCCCTGGCTGAGCATTGTGACAGATGGCCCAGGCTGGAGAGTTAAGGGTGCACAGTGGTCCAACAGTTCCAGGAGGCTTGGGGCTGCAGCTGGGAGGTGCGTCTGGGGCTGGGACGGGGCCAGAGCCATGGCCAGGATCTGGGGCTGGGGTTGGGGCCTGGAGCAGGGCTGCAGTGAGTGCCAGCAGCTGGGTGTGGGGCAGGGGCAGGGGCAGGGTTGGGTAGCAGTTCCTCCCTGCTAGGGTTGGCAGGTGTCCAGTTTTCAACCGCAACACCTGGGTCAAAAAGGGACCCTGGCAGCTCCCGTCGGCATCGCCAACTGGGCCGGTAAAAGTCCAGTCAACAGCACAGCCTGGGCTAAGGCAGGCTCCCTACCTGCCTGGGCTCCGCACTGCTTCCAGAAGTGGCCACTAGGTCCCTGTGGTCCCTAGACACTAGGGCAGCCAGGGAGGCGCAGCACGCTGCCCTCACCCCTAGGGCTGGCTCTGCAGCTCCCATTGGCCAGGAACTGCAACAAATGGGAGCTGTGGGGAGGGCGGGGGGGGGTCGGCTGCACCTGTGGGCACAAAGGCAGCATGCACTGTGCATAGCCACTTGCCCACCAGTGCACCTACAGCCCACTGAGACCTTGCGGCCGCTACCTTGGAGCTGCAGTAAACGCCACCTGGACGCCTCACCCGTTCCTGCATCCCAACCCCCTGCCCCAGCCCAGAGTCTCCTACCACAAACTCCCTCCCGGAACCTGCACCCCCCCCCAACAAACACCCTGCCCCACTCCAGAGCCCACACTCCCAGCTGCAGCCCAGCCCTCAGCCCAGTGGAAGTGAGTGAGGGTAGGGAAGAGCAAGCGGAAAGAGGGGAGATGGAGCGAGCGGGGCAGGGGGAGGGGCCTCAGAGAAGGGGCAGGGTAGGGGTGTTTGGTTTTGAGTGATTAGAAAGTTGGCACCCTACCCCCCACCCTCTGTAGGGGCTGGCCTGGGCCCATTGTGCCCCCTCCGTGAACATACCTCCTCACTTCCCCCTCCCCCCCCATTTGGGTACCTCTATCTAGCTAACCCCCTTCCTGCAACCTGAGCTACTCCCCCAGCCCACACACAGCCCCAGTTCAGTGGTCCCCAAACTTTTGAGGATTGTGCCGCCTCAACTTTCTGTGCCCTGCACCCCCTTGGCCCCCAGAGTCATGGCCCGGAGTGGTGCTGCAGCTCCGAGAGGTTGGGGGAGTGGACAACACCAAGGGGTCCAAGGCTGGGGCTGCAGTTGGAGGTGGGGCTGAGGCCAGGAGCAGGGGCCAGGGCTGGTGGCAGGGGCTGGCGCTGAGGCTGGGGGCAGGGCAGGTCTGGGTGGAACTCCCTCGCCACCCTCTGTGGGGGCTGGCATGGGCCCGCCCCCAAATGTTATGCCTTGCCCGCGGAGAGTTGGGGGGGGAAACGTGCCACACAGTTTGGAGACCTCTACCTAGTTACCCAGCACGCCCCTGGCACACAGCCCCTAGCTACCTCTCTTCCAGTCCCATGCACCCTGAGCTACCCCACTGCCCATGCACAGCCTCTAGCTACCCCCCTGCAGCCCTGCTCCTTGCACTTGAGCTACCCCCTGCTCGCACACAGCCCCTAGCTACTCCTCCCTGCCCAGAGCTATCCCCCCTGCCCTTAACCCCTCCCTGCACCGAGCTACCCTCTTGCCTGGGCCCAGTCACTAGATACCCCCTCCCTGTACCCTGAGATACTCCCCTGGCCCACACACATCTGCTCTGCGCCTGCCACCCTGAGATACTCACCATGCCGCACAGAGCTCCTAGCTACCCTCCCTCCCTGCACCGAGCTACCCCCTGCCAGCCACACAAAGCCCCTATCTACTCTTCTCCTGTCACCCCCTGTGCTGCACACAGCCCCTAGCTGCCCCCCCCTGCACCCTGAGCTACACCCCTCACTATGCACAGCTCCTAGAGACCCCCTTGCCTGCACCCCCCCATTATAATTTTTGGGTGTGCCCTCTCCCACCTCAGACAGACTGGGTGGCCTGCTGAGGTAATCAGGGGCAGAGGTGTTGTTCTCCCGGCAGCCAAAGCCTGAAGCCCCAGCACTCTGCAGGGCTAAAGCCCTGACTCCCCTCTCCCTTCCCCCGGCTTTGGAGAACATCAGTTAGAGGGAGAGGACTGGTGAAAGATGTCAATCATGGCACTGGTTCCCTCCCGCATTAGTCAATTAACTCAGGCTAAAAACAATGTGTTGATTTCCGCTATAGCTTCAGTAAGACCAGCAGGCCTAGAGCTGCAAGAACATTGCTTATGTGAAAATTCTTGCATTTTCTGCATGTTTATGGTGAACCTTGAAGTTAATCAAGCTGGGCAGTTTCTGAAATAACAGGATAATGGTCTCTCCCCTGGGTTGTGTGCACACTGGCTGTGTCAGCTTCCTGGGATGGCTGTGCACAGTCAAGAACCTCTGAGCTGACAAATCAGTTGTTTGGGATTAAAGCCAATTCGGAATAACTGTTTCTTACAAACAAGAAGCAGAATCTAAGAAACAAAAAGATGTATAACGTTCTGCAGTCCAAACCCTGGGAACCAGTGCAAGAGAAGTCCCGTGGTTAAATTGCTGCTCTTGTGTCCAGTCCAGTTTTAAAATACTTAAACACCAAGACAAATCAGGTGCTCTCCATTTTACAAAAATAGCTCTGATTGAGCTTTAATTCTTGTTGCGATTTTTACAGACGTTATTGACAAAAATACCCATGGACTAAATATACATAAAAACAAAACCTGCAGACAGGTCTGAATATCAGCTCTGGTTCTTGTTAAAATGCGAACACGTTAGGTCAAGGGGATTACAACTCGCTTCCTTTGCCTTTTTTATTTGTAATTTCTATAGTCCTGTCAAGCTTTCCAACAATAACCTAGGATAAAATTAGAAATACAGTAATTCCTTTACAGTAAGATGTTCACTAAGAGCCAAAGTCAGTAGCTAAAAGATGCACAGATGGTGCTGCTCTTCTGGTGCATGCTCTCCTTGCCATGGTATTGGCAGACTATTAGGACTTCAAATTGGCTACTTCAGGGTTTCACAGTGAGGGA